GCCAATGAGAGCAAAAGTTGTGTTTAGGAGCTAAAGAGGAACAGCTTTAGTGCCTACTGAACTTGAGAAACTCCTTGCCTGTGACTTTTAAACTGTGGATGTTACAAGTTTTCAGTTCTTACCAGTGAGCTGAGAACAGTGAGATTAAGTGCTACAAATGGTTTATTTTGGTGGGGGGATAAGAAAAATTAGATACTTTTGTTATTTATGAACAAATAGGTATAGCTCTGCCACTTTATATCTATGTGTCATCTATTTTTTGTTTTTTGCTGGCTCTGGGGCTTGAACTCAGGGCCTGGGTGCTGCCCTTGAGCGAGCACTCTACCACTTGACAACAGCACCATTTCCAGCTTTTTTTGAGTAGATCATTGGAGATAGGAGACTTTCGGCCCTTTCTGCCTGGGCTGGCTTCAAACTGTGATCCTCCAATCTCAGCCTCCTGAGTAGCTAGGATTACAGGCATGTGCTGCCGCTGCCTACCCCCCAGTGAAATATTAATTATCCATTTCCCTATTAACTGGGAATAATAATGGAAACCTTGCAGGGTCATTATGAGTAAATCACCCAGTGTGTGTAAGAAGCCCAGCATTGTGCTGCCCCTACAGCGATCTCTTCCTCCTTACTAATTTAGAAAAAGGAAAATACTTAGTTGGCTTCTGCCAGTTTATTGGGTAGCTGATCTCCTCCCATTTGGGTATGATATGGCTTTCTATATGTTTCCAAACTAACTTGCTCAGACTGAACACTGGTATTATTGCTGTTTCTTCTCTGTTTTTGCAGAAGTATTTCCTGTATATATTTATCTACTTTTCTTCCTTCTTCCTTCCTCCTCTTCCTCCTCCTCCTCCTCCTCCTCCTCCTCCTCCTCCTCCTCTTCCTCCTCCTTCTTCTCTTTCTTCCTTCTTTCTTCTTCTTGTCCTGGGGCTTGTACTCAGGGCCTGGGCACTGTCCCTGAGCTGTTTTTGCTCAATGCTAGCGCTCTACCACTTGAGCCACAGAGCTACTCCCAGCCTTTTCTGTTTATGTGGTACTGAAGAGTCGAACCCAGGGCTTCATGCATGCTAGACAAGCACTCTACCACTAAGCCACATTCCCAACACTCATAATAAATTTCTTGATGAATATATGTTCTTACTTTTCTGGATAACATAGAAATAGATACTATTGGAGTTTTGATAACACTGAAAAGGATTCTAAATTGCTATTCTATATTTGAGGAAATAGTATAGAATATCTTGCTTAGTTGTACTCTTAAAGAATGCATTAATTGGGGCCGGGAAGGTGGCTCAGTGGTAGAGCGCTTGCCTTGCATGCCTGAGGCCCTGGGTTTGATTCCCCAGCACCACATAAGCAAAAAAAAGAAAAAGAAAAAAAAAGCCGAAGTGGCGCTGTGGCTCAAGTGGTAGAGCGCTAGCCTTGAGCCAAAGAGCTGAGGGACAGCGCCCAGGCCCAGAGTTCAGGCCCCACGACCGGACCCCAAAACAAAAAACAAACAAAAACAAACAAACAAGAATGCATTAATTGTCTTAATACAGTCAACTATTATAAAATAGAATTCTTAAGTAGAAACATTTCATACAGGCTGGGAATGTGGCTTAGTAGTAGGTAGAGTGCTTGCCTAGCATGCGTGAAGCCCTGGGTTCGATTCCTCAGTAACCATATAACCAGCAAAAGCCGGAAGTGACTCTGTGGGCTCAAGTGGTAGAATGCTATCCTGAGCAAAAAGAAGCTCAGGGACAGTGCCCAGGCCCTGAGTTTAAGCCCCAGGACTGGCAAAAAAAGTAAAAATGCAAAGAGTTTTAAAGTAATAATATTGTATTGAATAAGATTAGTGAAGGAACATATACAATATGGCTTAGTAGGGCAACTGTTTCTTTTCTCTTTTTTTTTTTTTTTTTCCGCCTGGGTAGCCACACACCCGGGGGGTGGGGGACTGCTCCGCCTTTTCTTTTCTTTTCTTTTCTTTTCTTTTCTTTTCTTTTCTTTTCTTTTCTTTTCTTTTCTTTTCTTTTCTTTTCTTTTCTTTTCTTTTCTTTTCCTTTTCTTTTCTTTTCGGGTCCGGTTGTGGGCCTGAACTCTGGGCCTGGTCATGGTCCCTCAGCTCTTCAGCTCAAGGCTAGCGCTCTACCACTTGAGCCATAGCGCCACTTCTGGCTTTTTTCTTTTTGCTTATGTAGTGCTGAGGGATCAAACCCAGGGCCTCATGCATGCAAGGCAAGCGCTCTACCACTGAGCCACCTTCCCAGCCCGGGTAACTGTTTCTTTATTATTTATTCAGTACTTATGACTGCCTATTGTATTAAAAACTGAGCACGTAGATTTTTTGCTACTCAGTGTAAAAGTAACCCTTGCATGATCCTATTGACAATGTAGCTGTACTGAACCTACTTTTGTACTGAAGTAATGTTCCCTGTCCCCTACCTCTGCGGTGCTGGGTTAACTGGCATACACCATTATATTACACCTAGCCAAACTTTATCTTTGACAGTTGATAAAGATAAAGTTGACATTTCCTTTGACAGTTACTTAAATTATTTTGTGGTGCTGGTGGATGATCATACCTAAGGCACATACTAGGTATGACATTGATATTTTTGAGAATGTAATCCTGAGGTTGTGAGTATACTTAAAATATCTCTTTCTGTCTGTCTGTCTGTCTGTCGGTCGGTCGGTCGGTCTGTCTGTCTGTCTGTCTGTCTGTCTGTCTGTCTGTCGGTCGGTCTGTCTGTCAGTCAGTCAGTCGTGGGGCTTGAACTCTGGGCCTGGGCGCTGTCCCTCAGCTCAAGGCTAGCGCTCTACCCACTTGAGCAACAGTGCCACTTTCGGTTTTCTAGTGGTTTATTGGAGTTAAGAGTCTCAGGGACTTTCCTGCCCTGGCTGGCTTTGAACTGTGATCTTCAGATCTCAGCCTCCTGAGTAGCTAGGATTACAGGTGTGAGCTACCCGTGCCTTGCCAAATATCGTAATTTTTGAGACACTGTTAAGCAAAGTTATTTTAAATTCCTTTTCTATAAACTTATGTCTGGTGGAAGAATCCTCCAGAAAATCTTTCTTTCTTTCTTTTTTTGGTCGGTCATGGGGCTTGAACTCTGGGCCTGGGTGCTATCCTTCAGCTCTTCAGCTCAAGGTGAGCATTCTACCACTTGAGCCATAGCCCCACTTTCTGTTTTCTGGTGGTGAGATAAGAGTCTCACAGACTTTCCTGCCCGGGCTGGCTTTGAACCGTGATCCTCAGATCTCAGCTTTCTGAGTAGCTAGGATTATAGGCATGAGCCACCAGTGCCTGGCTAGAAAATCTTTTAAAACATATCACCTTGTGAACTTTTGCATTTTACTACTAAAATGGTAAAATGAATTTTGTCTCTATTTCTAGTTTATACCTATATACCTGTAGAGATAATGCTGTAACCTGGAATTCCTAATTAATTTTGATGACTTTTAAAAAGCTATCTAACCCGGTGCTGATAGCTCATGCCTGTAATCCTAGTTACTTAAGAGGCTGAGATCTGAGATCTTGGTTTGAAGCTAGCCAGGACAGGAAAGTCCCTTTGTGAGACTCTTTATCTCCACTTAACTATCAGAAGACTGTAAATGGCACTGTGATAGAGCACTAGCCTTGAAGAAAAAAGCTTTAGGATAGTGCCCAACACCCCCCCCCCCCCCCCCCCCCCCCCCAGTTTAAGCTCCGTGACTGACTAGAAAACAAGCTATGTATTTCAAGTTTGAATTGCAAATTGTGTTGTTTTATCATTTGTGTTACTCTTTCCTAACAGAATTGTGCCACCTAGTGGAATTTGTGTCCTTCAGGCTGTGAACTAGCTAGAATGTCAGGTGCATGTTTGCATCAAAAATGTTCATTTAAAATGTTTAAGTCTTCTAAGTAAGAGTTTAGCACTGGGGCTGGGAAGGTGGCTCAGTGGTAGAGTGCTTGCCTTGCATGCATGAGGCCCTGGGTTCAGTTCCTCAGCACCACATAAGCAGAAAAAGCTGGAAGTGGTGCTGTGGCTGAAGTGGTAGAGCACTAGCCTTGAAGAGCTGAAGGACAGTGCCCAGGCCCAGAGTTCAGGCCCACGGCCCACAAAAAACAAAACAAAACAAAAAAACCCACAGCAGTTTAGCACTATGAAATATTTAGTAAACAAGGACTTACTAGCTACCAAGAATTAAAATCTGCTTTTCTTTATTATTAAGAAGAAACATCCTGTGTTTACCTTGTTTTGGGCTAGGGGGGGGGGGTGGGGGTGGTGGGTGTGGTGGTGGTCCGGTTGTGGGGCCTGGGCCTGGGCACTGTCCCTCAGCTCTTCAGCTTAAGGCTAGCGCTCTACCACTTCCGGCTTTTTTTTCTTTTTGCTTATGTGGTGCTGAGGAATCGAACCCAGGGCCTCATGCATGCAAGGCAAGCGCTCTACCACTGAGCCACCTTCCCAGCCCGTGTTTACCTTCTTTATCAATGAAACTTTTAACAAAGCATGTCATTCTTTCTATTGGTCAATATTAGAGTAATAGTTGCTGTAGGGCTTAGTGTCAATGTGGGTCTCCTACAGTTGCTTTCTAAGCAGATTGCTGGGGTGCTTTATAATGTCATTTACACAGTGTGGGGATAGTTTTTACATAACAGAAGTAAAACACATTAGATGACAGGTAGTAATGAAATGGTTCATAGAGAAAAGTGCTACAATTTGTGACTTCTTTGTGTAGATATAAAATTCAGAGTTTATCAATATTAGGAACTTGACAACATGATGGTCTCTAATGTGTTATAATATGAAGATAATGTCTTATTGTTTTAGGAGATAATTAATATGCACATTTGCAGTAGGACCTGAAAAACCTTTGTTTCTTGAGCTTGGATATACTATATAATTAAAGTGGAACATGGTCTTTGAGGTTTTTAGTACTGAGAGAGTACTTCTAAATTATAGAATGCATTCTATCATGTAATGTGTTCACAGAGACATGCGTGTTCTCTGATGACTTTTATCTTGTTTATTCTTTCTTAGTTGCTGATGTATTTTCAAGATGAGTGGACTAGGAGAAAACTCCTTGGATCTGTTATCCACAGATTCACGAAAACGCAAACTGCCATGTGATACTCCAGGACAGGGGTAGGTGATTTACTTCCAGATGTGTCACCCTTGGCCCTTTTTTCCTTGTTTTGTTTTGTGTAATTTTCACCCCAGTAGTAGGGATTCAACTCAGTGCCTTGTGCCTGCTAGGCAAGTGCTTTACCACTTGAGTCATACCATGAGTCTTAGTTTTGTGATATTTAAAGATAACATCTCAGTTTCCTATTTGCATTCTCTCATTACACTAAAAATGTTTCCACTAAATAATGTTTGGCTTTGTGGTAATGCAGTGGTACTAAAGCCTTTTGATATAGTTTGGTTGTTGCTGATTTAGACACAAGGTAGAGCATTCTTGTAATGGTCTAATACTTTGAAGAATTTCTGAATAAAGTGTTTAGGAATAAGTGGCCAGTATTAGTACAAGTAAGAAGTTTGATACCCTTTAAAAATACAAGTTTGTATTTTGGCATTGTGAGGTTTCACCATTCTTACCCTGAATAAAATTAGAAATCAGAAACAAAATGCTGTCATTCTATAGTACTACTCAGTTTAAGTATTTGCCAAGGTCATTGGCATTGAATTTGAACGTATTACTGTAATACTAAGCTCATAGAACTTAATAATTAATCCATGGTATTATTGTTGTTATTTGTAAGGAATATTCTTTACCTCCTAGGTATAAACTATTTTCCAGATGAAGTAACAGGTTAACTTTTTTCCCAGGACTCTTGGCTAATAGAAAGGTAGAATTCGTTTTAGGCTTACTTTTTTTTTTTTTTTAACCCTGGTCATTCTTCTCTCTTAACCATAATTGTTAGCTTCTATTGACTGAGTTAGTTTATTACCCAGGAATGTTAGTGTTGCATAGGGGAGGTTCTGCAAGCTTTGTATGGTAGGTGTATCATGGCTTTTCTCCCTCTTTTAGTCTTACTTGCAGTGGTGAAAAGTGGAGACGAGAGCAAGAGAGCAAATATATTGAAGAATTGGCTGAACTGATATCTGCAAATCTTAGTGATATTGACAATTTCAATGTCAAACCAGATAAATGTGTGATTTTAAAGGAAACAGTAAGACAGATACGACAAATAAAAGAGCAAGGTAATAGAAAGTAAGAAAAACACTCAAGTCTTTCTAAAGGAACTTGTTACTCCCCCTTCCCCCTTCCTTTTTCCTCCCTCTTGGTGTTTGTTGTTTTTTTTTTGTTTGTTTTGTTGTTTTTTTTTTTGTTTTGTTTTGTTTTTGTTTTTTTTTTTTTTTAATTGTTGGTGTTGCTGCTGAGCATTCAAACCAGGGGCTTAACTCATGCTAAATACACACATCTACCACTGAACTATGCTCCAAGCTCCTAATTGCTTTTTTGTTTGTTTTCGGTTGGTCAGTCATGGGGCTCGAATTCAGGGCCTGGGTGCTGTCCATGCACTTTTCCCCTCAAGGCTAGTATTCTACCACTTGAGCCACAGTGCCACTTCCAGTTTTCTGGTGGTTATTGGAGAAAATAGTCTCACAGACTTTCCTGCTGAGCTGGCTTCAAACCATGGTCCTCAGATCTCAGTCTCCTGAGTAGCTAGGATTGCAGGCATGTGCCACTGGCACCTAGCCTAATTGCCTTATGGTAACTTGTTTAGGTAGAGACTACAATTGAGGCTAGAGTTAACTCTCTTGACTATGACATTTTTAAGATTTTTAAACTGTTGTGGCATCATTTTCAGGAACTGTGTGTGTTGTGTATTTTTCTATATTTATATCTGTTCTGGGGGTTACTTGGACTTAATCTGTAGTGAGTGTATGTGGTTTTCATTAGCTCACCTTCTGATTCTTCAGGAAAAGCAATCTCAAATGATGATGATGTTCAGAAAGCTGATGTGTCATCTACAGGACAGGGGGTTATTGACAAAGACTCTTTAGGACCACTTTTACTTCAGGTAAGTATAAAGATTATTACTGTTAAAAGTATACCACTGTTCTGTGGTATTGTAGTGATAAAATACTTTTTTGGTTGGGTCTGAGAACTAAAACAAAACATCTTTCTGTGAGACAGTGAACTCAATATTCTAAGCACAATGATAAAATGTCTTTTTAGTCTTACTTGCAGTGTGTGTGTGTGTGTGTGTGTGTGTGTGTGTGTGTGTGTATTATGTAGATATGTACATATATATTTTCAGTATATAACTTAAGGGGCCCTGCCCCTGATAAAAACAAACCGAGAAAGCACACATACAAAAGTATGAAAATAAAGGAGCAAGAACGGGAGGGTAATTCATAATTCCACAAAGGTAACTCAGTATTTCATAGAGGTGATATTTAGGTATATTTTAGCATAGACCTTTTTTTGTGAAATTTTATGATCATAGTGCAAATGTGAACTTTTTTTTTTTTTTAACTACTCTTGGGATCTGAACTCAGGGCCTGAGCACTGTCTCTTAGCTTCTTTTGCTCAAGGCTAGCACTCTTATCTCTGAAGCCACAGCACCACTTCTAGCCTTTTCTGTTTATGTGGCACTGAGGAATTGAACCCAGGGCTTCATGCATGCTAGGCAAGCACTCTGCCACTAAGCCACATTCCCAACTCCAAATGTGAACTTTTTAATTTTAGTTTTATATGTTTTTGTACCCAGGAATCAAACCCAGTGCTCTGTGCATGCTAAATACATCTATCTCTGAGTTGTATTCTATCTCTGAGCTACCCTACCTCCCCATTCCATTTTCTTAGTGAGAATTTTTTTTGCTGGAATTGAACATGGGACATTGAAAAGACAGACAAGTATGCTACCACTGAGTTGTACTGAGACTGATCCTGGGGCATTGAACATGGTAGACAAAGTCGTAGGAATTTTTTTTGTGTGTGTCAGTCATGGGACTTGAACTCTGGACCTGGGCACTGTCCCTCAGCTCTTCAGCTTAAGGCTAGCGCTCTACCACTTGAGCTACAGCACCACTTCTGGCCTTTTCTGTTTATGTGGTGCTGAGGAATTGAACCCAGGGCCTCATTCATGCAAAGCAAGCACTCTACCACTGAGCCACCTTCTCAGCTGATCCTAGGAATTTTTAACAGGTACCATATATATACATATATATGGCAAAAAAAAATAATAAGTTTCACTCGAAGACAGCGGCGGAAACTCTTTATGTAGTTAAACTTGGTTTTGTTTCAGCTAGGTTATTTCTGTTGCTTTTTTTTTTTCTTCCTTCTTCCAGTCCTGGAGCTTGAACTCAGAGCTTAGACACTGTCTCTGATCTTTTTGCTCAAGGCTAGCACTCTACCACTTGAGCTACAGCGCCACTTTTGGCCTTTTCTGTTCATGTGGTACTGAGGAATCAAACCCAGGGCTTCATGCATGCTAGCAAGCACTCTACCACTAAGCCACATTCCCAGCCCTCCTGTTACTTTTTAACTGATAAAGTTTTATATTACTTTGTACAGTTTGATTAAGAAATGGTACTAGCTGGCTACTTACCACTTGGAATTATAAGGCAGGAAGATTTGGGGGTTGTGGTCAGCCTTGGCTACATAGCAAGACTTTGTCTCAGAAAAATAAAAAAATCTAAGCGTGGTAACACATGCCCAAAATCCTAACCCTTGGGAAGTAGAGTCAGAATGATGTTTTCACTCATGTCTGGCATTCTACCACCTTCACTTAGGACTTTTGTGTAGCTAATTAGACACGAATCTCCCAGTCTTGTGTGTCTGAGCTGCTTTACACCAAAATTTTCTGATCTCAGCCTCTATAAGTAGATAGGATTATAGGCGTGAACCACCAACTCAGGCTAAGATTTTTTCCTTATGTTTTCTTTACCTATATTAGAATTGTTTTAATTTTATTTCTTAAAATCTTTTTTTTAAAATTCTTACCATTACATAGTTTATGTGCTGTTCTTGGTGCAGTTTTTTAAACTCCTGCATCTTCTCATCATCTTCACTTTTCTCCCTCTTTACTAGACTTTACTACACTTCATTTTTCCAATGCACCGTCTTTATTTTAGTGTTGTCACTTTTCACTATACATTTTTTTTTTTTTTTTGCTGTTTTCTCTTTCACAGGTATTGGTGTAATAGTAGTAGTTCTGGCTTCTTTTGGTATTGTTACTATTATGATAGTTTTTGTTTTCTCTTCTCTGAGTGGCACTGACAATTGAGCCCTCAAGAGAAGGCTGTTCACAGCCCCAAATAAAACTGGAAGAGATATCCATTCTAATGGATAGACCAATTACATCTTAGAAATACAAGAAATATGAAAAAGCAAGACAACATGAGTCTTCCGAAGGTTCAGAACTCTTTGATAGCTGAATCCAGAGATACTGAACTGATTGAAATGTCAATTCAAATATCTAGTTTTAAAAATGATCAGTGACCTCAAAAAGGATTCAGATACAGCCAGGTGCCATAGCTTACTCCTTTAATCCTCGCTATTCAAGAGGTTGAGATATGAGGTTCTAAGCCAGCCCCAGTAGGAAAGTTCTTGAGACTCTTACCTCCAATAAACTACTCAAAAAAGCCAGAAGTGGTGCTGTGGCTCAGGTGGTAGAGCACTAGCCTTGAGCAAAAGAGCTTAGGGACAGTGCCAAGGCCCAGAGTTGAAGCCTCAGGACCAGCCAGGAAAAAAAAAAAAAGTTTATTTAAGACCAAGAAATTTGGGGCTGGAAAGGTGGCTCAGTGGTAGAGTGCTTGTCTTACATGCCTGAGGCCTGGGTTTGATTCCTCAGCACCATATAAACAAAAACAAAAAAGCCAGAAGTGGCTCTGTGGCTCAAGTGGTAGAGCGCTAGCCTTGAGCTGAAGAACTGAGGGTCAGCGCTCAGGCCCAGAGTTCAGGCCCCACGACCACCGCCCCCCCCCCCCCCCCAAAAAAAAAAAAAAGACCAAGAAATTTAACAAACTGGGATGAGAAAGGATAGAAATTCTAAAAGGGGGGGGGGGGGGGAGATGAAGAAATACAGGGAATTAGTTGCTCAGTAAATCAAATAAAAACTCAATAGACCAGGCAGAATAATGACTATCAAGGGTTAGACGCAGGTTGAGGAATTATTACATTCAGATAGCAATAAGTAAAATAAAAATAAAAGCAAGCATGACCATAGCATCCAAGACCTTGGTGATACAATTAAGAGATGCAATCTTTGCATCTGTGGTATAGATTTGAGAGCCAAGATACTGACTAAAAGCATGTGAAACTTATTCAATGAAGTTATAAAAATAGAAAAGGAATTATAGCAGAAATGAAATTATAGTAAAAAAGAAATGGACATCAAAGTATATGAGACACTTAAATACACATGACCAGAGAAGAGCTACTTTTTTAAAATTAAATTTTATTTTATTTTTGTTGGTCATGGGGCTGAAACTGTGGGCTTGGGCACTGTCCCTGCACTCTTCAGCTCAAGCTTCTACTGCTTGAGCCACAGCGGCACTTTCAGTTTCCTAGAGGTTTATTGGAGATAATTTCCTTCCTGGGCTGGCTTTGAACCATGATCCTCAGATCTCAGTCTTCTGAGTAGCTAGGATGACAGGTGTGAGCCACCGGCACCCAGCTCTACTGTTTTATTTTAAAGTGCCTGGAGTACAGAACCAAGAAGCAATATTGAAAGATGCAAGAGAGAAAGCACCAAATTACTTATAAAGACAAAACCATCACAACAATAGACATCAAACAGAAATCCTGAAAGCCACAAGAGCATGGACTGATGTCTTTAAAGCTCTGAAACAGAATGATTTCCACCCAAGACAGCTACGTTCTTTAAGAATCAGCCCAAGACAGCTACGTTCTTTAAGAATCAGATCTTCCAATCAAGTAAGCATTGTAGAACACACATAAAAGAATACTACACACAGAAAATAATACACAAGATGAGAGCTTAGGAAAGAATAAATCTCACTAGGATAATAGATAAATGAGAAGTAGGAAAGTATCAAACATTAACTTATAAACCAACAAAGCCCTAAGATGAAGAAGGGAAAAAATAGTACATACCTAAAATATAAATGGAAAGATACAGACTTAAGCTGGACACCAGTGCCTTTCACCTATTTTCCTAGCTACTCAGGAGACTGAGATTCAGAGTGATCACACAAATTCTAATACAGCTGGGCAGAAAAGTTTGAGACGCTGTCTCTAAGAACCAGCAAAAAGCCAGCCTGGAGGCGTGGCTCCGCTGATAGAATGCCTGCCATCTGAGCAAGCAAGCCTGGTGAGCCACTGCATTGGCATTCACCTCTCAAAGAAACAAAACAGAACAAAAGGACAACAAAAACCCAGAGAAGCTTCTTTCTGGTTCCTGTAATACTGGAATGTGCCAGGTGAAGGGCCTAATGGGTTGGAGGTGGAATCTATTATAGTTCTCAGTGTTTAGTCTGGTGGTGTAGGGAGACCAGAGGGGCCAAGAGTCAGGTGAGTAGGGTCAGTCCACTTCATGTCTGCATTCATTTTAGAAGATGGGTATTGAGAACTGCTTGTGGCCCCAATAAGTAGTCTGTTTGTTCCCATTTTGTGTACTCTTGGTTGGCATATGTTCAAGTCTATGGCTGTTCTTGCAGTATGTGGGAGAGTAGGTGTGGCAAACAGCACTGAGCTGTGCACTGGAGGGAGAAACCAAGTGAACCCCACATTCTGCTTCTGCAGGAAGCCTGCATGCGGCAGGTAGGAGGCTGGAGAACTCAGGGACCCACCAGTCTGGGATAGGGGACAGAATGTTGTACCCTATCCCCCTGTAGAGGAAGAGTAATTCACCAGGCACAAGTTTGGAACTGTTTCTGCAGGTGATGAGGCTCACTCCTTTTCTGCCTGTCACCACACCTCCATAGCTCAGGCTCCTTGCTCAATTTCTTGCTCCTCAAACTTCTTAGCTCCAGTGGGTTTGTGTACAGCCCTCCTCACAACTGGCTCTCTCCCACCTAGACAGCCTGTCTCCAGGGTCCTTGAGTTGTGACGGTTCCTTGTTTCCAGAACTTCTGAGTAGCTCATTCCTAAACCACAGATGGTGCTAACCATAATACTCTGAAGTATAGGGAATGACAAAATGGGTACTGGGAGAGCAGTGGCTTATCTTGTGCCTAGATTTTGCCCCCAGCCATTTGTCATTATGGCTACCTGGCTTGCCTGGTGTTCTGTCTTTGTGACTCCACCTCTCCTCTTGGAATGGAGCTGTATTTGTTCCTTAATTTTCTTTGTGTAGCCTTTGTTTCTCCATGCTCTTCAGCCCTGCTTGGTCACCATGTTTGTGACTCTGATACTCTCCTTTCTCTATCTGAAATTGAGTCTGCCTTAGTTCCTCTGACTCTTCTCGTTCATGAAGGCTCCTGGAGGAAGCTTCTGATCTGCCACCTTACTCCTCTTCTTTACTTCACCTGGGATCGAACCTAGGATCTTGTGCTTATTTATTGGGCAAGTGTTTTACTACTTAGTCATGTCTCTAACCTTCCTTCTCCACTCCCCTCCCATTATTTAAAAGCTCCTATGAATCTGTAATGACCAAAAAGTAGTCTAGACATTGTGCCTTTTCTATATTCTGTAGTAATATGTTAATATGAATAGAATGGTGGTGGTAGTGATGGTAAGTCAGCAGTAATGTTTCCCAGTTTATGTATTTACTAAGGCTATTGTTATTAGTCAGCTAAGCCTCCTTGACAAGATCAAGGTGTTGGCAAGATTGGTTTCTCCCAAGTTCTCTGTTGTGGTTTGTCACTGTCTTTTTTTTTTGGGGGGGTTTGTCGGTTGGGGGCCTGAACTCTGGGCCTAGGCACTGTCCCTCAGCTCTTCAGCTCAAGGTTAGCCCTCTACCACTTGAGCCACAGCACCACTTTTGGCTTTTTCTGCTTATGTGGTGCTGAAGAATCGAACCCAGGGCCTCATGCATGCAAGGCAAGCACTCTACCACTGAGCCACCTTCCCAGCCCTGTCACTGTCTTTTTTAATGGGCTTTTCTGTGCATTCCTGGTGCCTTTTTAGTCTCTCCTTGTAAGGATACCAGTTATATTAGATAAGGTTCCTACTCTATGATCTCTATTGTTCCTAATTACCTCCTTAAAGGCCCTATCTCCAAGTACAAGTCACATTGAAGGGGAGGTGCTACAGTCATGTGCATTTGCGGGAGGAACTGCAGTTTTGTCCAGATCAGCTTCCATTAATGTATCCCATTTTAGGCATTGGATGGTTTCTTGTTTGTGGTAAATCGGGATGGAAACATTGTATTTGTGTCAGAAAATGTTACCCAGTATCTGCAATATAAGCAAGAGGACCTGGTTAACACAAGTGTCTACAATATCTTACATGAAGAAGACAGAAAGGATTTTCTTAAAAATTTACCAAAATCTACAGGTAAGATTTTTCTTTTCTGTTTGTTTATTTGTTTGTTTGTTGTTTTGAGACAGGTCTCACACTATACCTAGGCTGGCCTCGAACTCCTGATCTCCTGTATCTGCCTCTCAATTGCAGGGATAGCAGGTGTATACATGCCCAGCTACAGTTAGGCTTTTAGAGTGTGCTTTCCAAACATATTTTATAAATTTCCTTGATTTATTTAATTAATTTATTTTTTTGTCAATCATAGTGCTTGAACTCTGGGCCTTGGTGCTGTCCCTGAGCTCTCCAGCTCAAGGCAAGCACTCTACCACTTGAGCCACAGCCCCACGTACGGTTTTCTGGTAGTTAATTCGTAGATAAGAGTCTCATGGACGTTCCTGCTGGCTTTGAACTACGATTCTCAGATCTCAGCCTCCTGAGTAGCTAGGATTATAGGTGTGAGCCATCAGCACCCCACTGATGATTTCTTAAAAACTTGAATGTACATTTTAGGAAGACCTGGAAACCAATTTCTATGAAAAAGGAAGTGATTAATAGCAAGATTTTCAAATATGTTCTCATTTAACTGAAAATTTGGTATGCATTTTAGTGTACCAAACACACAACAAAATTCTGCTAAAAAGTTAAAATTATTTAAATTTTTGTATATTGCCATTCGGAAATGTTAGTGTAAGTATTATGACAAATATAATTAATGAGAAAGTTTAGCTTCAGTTCTCTTTCATTCATTTCTATGACAGGATTCTCGCCCTGTTGTCCAGGCTGGTCTTCAGCTCCATGGTCCAAACAGTCTTTTCTCCAGCCTCCTGAGTAGCTATGACTACAGACATGTAGCTTGAATTATTTTTATGTATTTTAAATGTGGAGTACTTCATTAATTTGCATGTCATTCCTGGACAGGAGGTGTATTAATCTTCATCATTTCAGTTTTAGTACATATGTGCCAAAATGACTATATTATTACTTTGAATTCTTGATGATAGATTGGAGTTACCATATTTATAAAAAGTCATTTCAATTTGTTTTCCAAAGTTAATGGAGTTTCCTGGACAAATGAGACCCAGAGACAAAAAAGCCACACATTTAATTGTCGTATGTTAATGAAAACAACACATGATATTTTGGAAGACATGAACACCAATCCTGAAATGCGGCAGCGATATGAAACCATGCAGTGCTTTGCCCTGTCTCAGCCACGCGCTATGATGGAGGAAGGGGAGGGTAAGAGCATCATGTTTGCAAATCTGTGTTGCCCCAGCAGCCATACTTGGAGTTTTGTGACTTCACTGTTATAACTTCCTTACTGACATTTGTGTCCTGGCCTGTTTGTTGAACACCTATATCCAAAAGTAAATAGAGCCATTATCTGGCTGAATTTTGTATTGTAGACTTGCAATCCTGTATGATCTGTGTGGCCCGACGCATTACTACAGGTGAACGAGCGTTTCCATCAAATCCTGAGAGCTTTATTACCAGACATGATCTTTCAGGTAAAAATGGGGTGTGTATGTGTGTTCATTTTCACTCTTTAAGTTACACAGTTCAAATAATTGTGACTATTTTACATAATAATATACTCAAAATTCTCCAAGTTAAAAAAAATTATAGCGGTCACAACTTTTCTCCAAGTAGTGTTTTGCATCACAATTTAATATTTTTACTTTAACTTCTAATCTGTTATAAAGAAAAAAGTTTTGAAAAAGCAGGTAATTTACTGACAACTTTTGAGTAATTTTTTTTTTTTTTTTTTTTTTTTTTTTTTTGGTTTGGTCAGTTGTGGGACCAGTTCTCTACCACTTTGAGCCACAGTGCCACTTTCGGTTTTGTGGTGGTTAATTGGAGATAAGATTCTTAAGGAATTCTTTGACCAGGCTGGTATTGAACTGGGATCCTCAGATCTCAGCCTCCTGAATCATTAGGATTATACATGTGAGCCATCAGCACTAAGCTTCTGAGAGTTAATTCTTGATATCATCATGAACTTCATTCTTGGTCTGCCACTTTTTGTGACCACAGAAATCAAGAATTAAAGACATCATAGTTGACCTGGGCATGGTGGTGCATACCTGTAATTTTGGCTCTAAGAGGCTGAGACAGGAGGACTGTGACTTTCAGGCTGTCTTAGTAAAAGTGTCTTAAAACAAGCATGCAAAAACAAAGAAGAAGGGCTGGGAAGGTGGCTCAGTGGTAGAGCGCTTGCCTTGCATGCATGAGGCCCTGGGTTCGATTCCTCAGCACCACATAAATAGAAGAAGAAAAAAAGCCAGAAGTGGCGCTGTGGCTCAAGTGGTAAGAGTGCTAGCCTTGAGGTGAAGAGTTAAGGCACAGCACCCAGGCCCAGAGTTCAGGCCCATGACTGGACCTCTCTCCCACCCCCCGCCCCCCCCAAAAAAAAAAGAAGAGACATCTAGTTGATAAGGCACATTGGCAATGTCAAACAGGATGACAGTGTTACCCATACTCACCATCAAGTTTGCTAGTGGTGATACCAAGGGCCTGTCACATATGTTCTATGTCAGACATGAGAAAACCCAGGCTTGGGGACAGTGAGGCCTGGCTGTTTTCTAACATCATGACTGATAAGAGCTTGCAGCTGATCTGCTTGACTTAAAGCCTATATTCTTGGCTTTATGTAACACTGACTTACCCACAGAGTGAACCCTTGGTAAGTAACATGATAAAATGGAGTAGTTTTAAACAAAGAAAACATTTCTATAGCTATTATAGGTGTGTGTGTGTGTGTGTAGGACATAGGTAACATACATATATTGTGTTTTGTAAGAAATAGCTATTTTCATGCTATCCATCCTTGTATGTCGTCTTCAGTTAATAGTCTTGAGGCTGCTTGAGATAAATGTTCACAAATGAAAAAAATAGCAGAAAAGGAGTTTTGTATTTTGAATTGCCAATCTCTTTACACTGATGGATATTACTTTATATTGACTAAATTTCTCTGTATTTACTTGCCTTCTGATAGCGGTGACAGGAATTGTAAGTGTCATATTTCCAGAAATGGATCTCTCTGTACCTCTTAATATTTTTTTTTCTGGTCCTGGGCCTTGAACTCAGGGCCTGGTTGCTATTCTTGAGTCTTTTTTTTTTTTTTTTTTTGGGTCCGGTTGTGGGGCTTGAACTCTGGGCCTGGGCGCTGTCCCCCAGCTCTTCAGCTCAAGGCTAGCGCTCGACCACTTGAGCCACAGCACCACTTCGGCTTTTTTCTTTTTGCTTATGTGGTGCTGAGGAATCGAACCCAGGGCCTCAGGCATGCAAGGCAAACATTCCACCACTGAGCCACCTTCCCAGCCCTCCTGAGTCTTTTTGTGCTCAAAGCTAGCACTCTTAACACTCTGAGCCACAGTGCCATTTCTGGCTTTTTCTGAGTACAAGTCTCACAGACTTTTCTGCCCAGGCTGGCTTCAAACTGCTATCCTCAGATCTTAGCCTCCAGAGTAGCTAGAATTACAGTCTTAATTTTTTTTTTTTTTTTTTTTTTTTTTTTTTGTTGGTCGTGGGGCTTGAACTCTGGGCCTGGGCGCTGTCCCTCAGCTCTTCAGCTCAAGGCGAGCGCTCTACCACTTGAGCTACAGCGCCACTTCCGGTTTTCTGGTGGTTTATTGGAGATAGGAGTCTCACGGTCTCTCCTGCCCGGGCTGGCTTTGAACCGCGATCCTCAGATCTCAGCCTCCTGAGTAGCTAGGATTACAGGCGTGAACCACCAGCGCCCGGCAGTCTTAATTTTTATCTAAATAACTGTTATGTATTTGCTACCGAAAATACTAAGTACAAATACTTTTACCTAAGCAGTTTATATCTTTTTTTTTTTTTTTTTTTTGAGTCCAGTCGTGGGCCTGAACTCTGGGTCTGGGTGCTGTCCTTCAGCTCAAGGCTAGCACTCTACCACTTGAGCCACAGCGCCACTTCCAGCTTTTTGCTTTTTGCTTATGTGGTGCTGAGGAATTGAAGCCACGGCCTCAAGCATGCAAGGCAAGAGCTCTACCACTGAGCCACCTTCCCAGCCTTACCTAAGCAGTTTAATGACTGGCATCTTCAAAAATCATCTCATCTATTACTTTATTACAAAAGCAATACCTATTTACTATAAAAGGAGTTACTGAACTAGAAAAACTTTTTTTTTCTTTTTCTGGTTAACATCATTTAAGAATGAGAGCCATCTTACCAAAGAGTTGGTAGAGTTGGTGGCATCTAGCTGTCTGTTTCACAGGTTTGGTGCACACAGCAGTACTTCCTTTGGCTGCTAGAGAAACTTTATCCTCTGTCCCTCATGTGTTTCATTCAGTATACTTTTCCTAATCATCTGGTTTATTTTGACATGTGGCCTACCACTAAGCTCAGAGAAGGTGGTTGAGGACATACCTTTCCTAATCTCTGTTGTAGTGCCCAGTATTTTCTCTTTCCTGTCCTGCATTAGTTCCTTTTCCCTACTTTTTTCTCCATTAATAATTTTAAAACGTTAATCACTAGTATAACTCTGGATTTTTGTATGTAGTTCAATTCTAGAGCTGGTTTAGCAAGTATAAGCCCCAGGTTCCATTTTTAGTATTGCAAAATGTCTGACTTGACAACAGCTTCTTCAGACTTGAGGCTCATCTCTGTTAGAGCATTCTACATTTGTCCTTCCTCATTGCACACGTGGTTCACTTTCCCCTTCTGCCATGCTGGGGTTGGAATCCAGGGCAGTGTACATTCTAGGCAAAAGCACTCTAACACTGAGCCATAGCCTCAGCCTCCTTCTTCACCACCAGTAGCTTCTATAGAACTACTACTTAGGCCAGACGTCTTTCAGTTGAAGAAGATCATGAGTTTTTTACGTTTCCAAACTCAGTTTTCTTAAGCATTTACCCTGTTTTAATGAACATATTATAGAGGTTGAATGAATTGGTCTTTCCTAATTTGAACAAAATCAATTATATTGTTGATTACTTCTTTCAAGTCATTTGTGGCCTCATTAGTCATGAGTTTCATCATCTTCAGGACTTAATAGCACTGTTAGTACTGAATGAAAGAGGTTTTTTGGTTTTTGAGTACTACTGCATTTTTTACTAAAACCTGGACAGAAAAGACAAGTAACTACTGGTAGTTGTTTTTTTTTTTTTTCTGTCAGTCATGGGGCTTGATCTCTGGGCGTGGGCGCTGTCCCTGTGCTCTTCAGCTCAAGGCAAGCGCTCTCTACCGCTTGAGCCACAGCACCACTTCGGTTTTCTAGTGGTTTATTGGAGATAAGAGTCTCACAGACTTTCCTGTCTGGGCTGCCTTTGAACCACTATCCTCAGATTTCAGTCTCCTGAGTAGCTAGGATTACAGGTGTGAGCCACTGGTGCTCAGCAACTACTAGTAGTTGTGATACTAATATGAGCTTCAATTAAAAATGACCAGTTTCTGACTGAGGAACACATTTTATCCTACGTACTATCTATGCCATGTAAGTTGATCAGTTTTTGGCCTGGACATCTAAAGGCAAGCCAACGAGGTCCACTTCAAAAACATAAATCCCCTGGAAAGATGCCCCTTTCAGGCATGTATCCTTTCCAGTCCCTTGATGTGGCTACCAGCCTTGAGGCTCACTGAATTCTTTTCTTCAAGCTTCCTTCCTGAGTAGACAGAGGGCTAAAATCATGAATCCTCTAGTCACTTAGGCTTTCTGGTGACCAGCTCCACCTTGTGGCAAGGATTCTTTTGAGCCACTAAGATACTCATATTAGGAAATCCCAGGATCTAGGGGATCTAGAGGGACAGATACATTACTTGCTATACCAAAGCCGAACATGTCACTGTGAGAGCTTCCTGCAGGACTGCGTCCTTAAGGAGAAAAGGCAAACAGAAATTTGCAGAAGGCAGAGTAAGGATTTAATATCTTTTATTTAATCCTCCAATGCTAACTCATGGGTATGCAACAGTAAATACTTGACAGGATTTGAATCTTTTATTTTCTATATAATAGGAAAGGTTGTCAATATAGATACAAATTCTCTGAGATCTTCCATGAGGCCTGGCTTTGAAGATATAATCCGAAGGTGTATCCAGAGGTTTTTTAGTCTGAATGATGGTCAGTCATGGTCCCAGAAACGTCACTACCAAGAAGGTAAAGACATTTGGGGTTTGATGCTTGGTCTTGATTACTGTTGGTTGTATGAGCTCCAATAACTGTATGCATGACATTTGTGTATATAATTCTTGAGCCTACCTACTTTTTTGCTGCATATCTAATCTTTCACATGGCTTAAAAAATTTTATACTTGAAATATGATTTCTTTCTCCTCTCTATATGTATTTGTTTTGCCAATTGTTGATATTAGTAAGTAATAGTGTGTTTTCCCACAGCTTACATTCATGGCCATGCAGAAACCCCTGTGTATCGATTCTCCCTGGCTGATGGAACTATAGTGACTGCACAGACAAAAAGCAAACTCTTCCGAAACCCCGTAACAAATGATCGGCACGGCTTTGTCTCAACACACTTTCTTCACAGGTAGAGAGGTTACATTTGTGTTAAGTGCATCCATTATTATTAGTGTAAAAAGGCAAACAATAAGAGAGAAAGCAAGATGGATGGATTTTGGTGATATGATTTTAGATTTCTAGATTGTTTTCTTTAAGGTTATATTTTTATGTAAAAATATTTATTCACTAATTCCTGGGAGATGGGAAGGCTAATGGATAAAAAAGTGTATGAATAATTACTTAGGTGGTCACAAAGTGATTACTTTTTTTTTTTTTGGGTCCGGTTGTGGGGCCTGAACTCTCGGCCTGGGTGCTGTCCCTAAGCTCTTCAGCTCAAGGATAGTGCTCCACCACTTGAGCCACAGCGCCACTTCTGGCTTTTATTCTTTTTGCTTATGTGGTGCTGAGGAATCGAACCCAGGGCATCATGCATGCAAGGCAAGAGCTCTACCACTGAGCCACCTTTTATTACCTTTTATTTCTAGTGATTTTAGGGACTCAATTGAAAATACACTTAATTACTAACAAAAGAAAGCACCAGCTGGATGCTGGTGGTTCATAACTGTAATCCTAGCTACTCAGGAGACTGAGATCTGAGGATCATGGTTCAAAGCCAGCCCAGGCAGGAAAGTCTATGAGACTCTTATCTCCAGTAACCCACCAGAAGTGGTGCTGTGACTCAAGTGGAAGTGCTTTCCTGGAGCTGAAGAGCTCAAGGACAGTGCCCAGGCCCAGAGTTCAAGCCCCGTGACTCCCCCCCTCCTGCCCCCCCCTCCAAAAAAAAGCATCTACTGGTGCTGGCAATGATAAATAAAGAACATGTGAAGGAGAGTGTTTATCTTTTGATTATCTTGAATATTTTCCAGATACTTGCAGGGTAAGATAGATATGCAGCAAAGATTCAGGTAACATGGCTATGTTGGTCCTGTGCAGTACTGTGGTGGTACTGATTATTTGTAATTCCCAGCTTATTAAAAAGTATTATTATGTTAATTTAGTAATCAGTACTTAAATTGGACTTATCCCTAGGTATTAGAATGGCACCTAATAGAAATTATTTCCCCAATTAGTTGTTACTTTGTCTTCTCTTTTCACTTCCCTTGTTCCCTCAATAATCCAATCTCCTTTCCTCCGCTTCTCTCCCCTCCATTTTGTATTCTTCTCCCAAGTCTGAGTCACCGCTTTAATGCCTGTAATTTTTTAGTAAAAGTTTTATGTTGTGTTTCTTTGCAGAGAACAGAATGGGTATAGACCAAACCCAAATCCTGTAGGACAAAGCATTAGACCTTCTGCAGCTGGATGCAGCAGTTCGGTAGGCAGCATGAGCATGTCGCCAAACCACAGCTTACAGATGCTGAGTGGCAGGGCCTATGGCTTGGCAGAGCCCAGCACCACAGGGCAGATGAGTGCTGCTAGGTATGGGGCTTCCAGTAACATAGCTTCACTGACCCCTGGGCCAGGCATGCAGTCACCGTCTTCCTACCAGAACAACAACTATGGGCTGAACATGAGTAGCCCCCCACATGGCAGTCCTGGTCTTGGCTCCAACCAGCAGAATATCATGATCTCTCCTCGTAATCGTGGGAGCCCAAAGATGGCCTCACACCAGTTTTCTCCTGTTCCAGGTATTCTTGTTAGCATTTCCTTTTATTTTTTTTCTTTTCATACCACTGTACTTCTGAGTAAATCAATTTTATGAAAGACACTTTGAAGTGTCTTTTGTTTTGTTTTGTTTTTTTATAATGTCTGATAGTGCAATTCTCTTACTCTTTTCTCCACATCTAGGTGTGCACTCCCCTATGGGATCTTCTGGCAGTACCTCAAGCCACAGCTTTTCCAGCAGCTCTCTCAGTGCCCTGCAAGCCATCAGTGAGGGGGTGGGGACGTCTCTCTTATCCACTCTGTCTTCACCAGGCCCCAAATTGGATAATTCTCCCAACATGAATATGACTCAGCCAAGTAAAGGGAGCAGTAGTCAGGATTCAAAGAGTCCCCTAGGCTTGTACTGTGACCAGAATCCAGTGGAGAGTTCAGGGTGTCAGTCAAATAGCAGAGATCACCTCAATGACAAAGAAAGTAAGGAGAGTGGTGGAGAAGGATCTGAAAATCCAAGGGGGCCTTTGGAAAGCAAAGGCCATAAGAAGTTACTGCAGTTACTTACCTGCTCCTCTGACGACCGAGGCCATTCCTCCTTGACCAACTCCCCTTTGGATTCAAGTTGTAAAGACACTTCTGCTAATGTCACCAGCCCCTCTGGAGTCTCATCCTCGACACCAGGAGGTGTGTCCTCCACATCCAATGTGCACGGGTCACTATTACAAGAGAAGCATCGTATTTTGCACAAGTTGCTGCAGAATGGAAATTCACCGGCCGAAGTAGCCAAGATTACTGCAGAAGCCACGGGGAAAGACACTACCAGTGTCACCACCTGTGGCGAGGGAGATGTCAAGCAGGAGCAGCTAAGTCCAAAGAAGAAGGAGAACAACGCTCTTCTGAGGTACCTGTTGGACAGGGACGATCCTAGTGACACACTCTCTAAAGAGTTACAGCCCCCCGTGGAAGGGATCGATAATAAAGTGACTCAGAGCAGCAGTTCCACCATTCCCAGCTCCAGCCAAGAGAAAGACTCAAAGATTAAGACAGAAGCAAGTGAAGAGGTAATTTATTTTCTCTATGCCATCTCAGAGGTTGCATTTCATTATTTCTGTGTTAGTTGGATAATTTGTTTGGTATAAATTACGTACGTACGTGTGTGTGTGTGTGTGTGTGTGTGTGTGTGTGTGTGTGTGTGTGTGTGTGTGTGTGTGTGTGTGTGTGTGTTACCGAGTTTGAATTTGGGCCACCTGATTAGTCAAGTATTGTACCACTTGAGATACACTCTCAGCCTTTTTCCTCCCCCCCCCCCCCCCCCTACTTTTATCCAGGCCAGCCTTGGACAGAGATCCTCCTACTTCTGCCACAGTCCTGTGTGGCTGGAATTACAGGTGTGAATCATCATGCCAGGCTTGTTTTTTGGGCTAGTCTTGCTAACTTTTTTGCCCAGGTTGGCCTTGAACCTACTATTTCAGCCTCCCAAGTAGCTAGATCATAGGTATGGGCCACTGTACTAGCAAAGTTAGTTGTTCTTAACTTTCATTTTTTTAGTAATTTTTTTTTGGGTGCTAGAAAAGTATTATCATGCAATTTAGAAATGTGTATTTTCTAAAATGTGAGTATAATTTTTTTTTTAAGACGGTCTCACTATGAAATAGCCCAAGTTGGCCTCAAACTTGCAATCCTCCTGTCTTAGCTTCCCTATCACAGGTGTGTACCACACCTAGCTAAACAGTTTTGTTTTTGTTTTTTTTTTAATGGTATTTAGAGTTGAATCTAGGGCCTTGTGCTTTCTAGGAAAGTACTCTAGCTCTGGAGCTATGCTCCACTCTATAGCTAACAGCTCTTTTTTATTAAGGCGTTCATTGTTGGAATGAGAAGGTGGGCTTATTAAGGGCTTGGTAGAATGTGGATTTAGCACCATCATTTTGATTTTTGCCTAGTGATCCAGTTCAGGTTATAACCACACTGTATGCAAACATTTCTAAACTGCTTGAGGAGCTATATTTTAGGAGGTATAAGTATTCACCTGAGCAAATGAAAGGCTTGGAGAAGTCTTTTTGGATTTAACTCCACTAAACGTAGTGTTTGTCAGATTTCTACACTAGGTTTGCTTTATTGCTACTTAGGAATGTCTTTTTAAGCACCAGCCTGTCACTCACTATTAATCATGCTGTTTATAGAAGGTATGAGTAGAGGCAGATTTTTTTTGCCAACTTATTAGGACTCCTTTGGTGCAAATTGTTAGCTGAAAAATAACCTACAGTTTGAGAATTAAATGTTTAGGGCAAATAGAAAAAAAGTGGCCCATTTGAAAGCACCAAATGCAGTGACTGATTTTACCAGTGGCTCAAGGAAAATGAAGAGTGGGCTCCTAAGAAACCAACCTTCAATGAGACATTTTATCTCAGGCGGCTGCTGTGTCATCTCATGTGTTTCACTTTTACAGCTACACTCAGCAGTGTCTCAAAGGAGCGCATGTGGGCTAATCTTTAACATTTTACTTTCAGGGATCTGGAGACTTGGATAATCTAGATGCCATTCTTGGTGACCTGACGAGTTCTGACTTTTACAGTAATAATCCCATATCCTCAAATGGCAGTCATCTGGGGACCAAGCAACACGTGTTTCAGGGAGCTAATTCTTTGGGTAATGCAGAACTAGATTTTGATTTTTTTGTGTGTGTACTGTATGTATGTGTATAATTATACTAAGACCAGGTATTATAACTAGGGTTTATAACCAGAACAAATACCCTAACTCTAATATACTAACTGCTACTTAGTAACACATGTGGGTTTTTTTGTTTTGTTTTACCAGTCCTGGTGCTTGAACTCAGGGCCTGGCCACTGTCCCTGAGCTTTTTTGTTCAAGGATAGCACTCTTCCACTTGAGCCACAGCACCACTTCCAGCCTTTTCTGTGTATGTGGTACTGAGGAATCGAACCGAGGGCTTCATGCATGCTAGGCAAGCACTCTACCACTAAAGCCACATTCAAGCCGGTAACATATTTGTTTTTGAAAGCTTTTTGGATGTTCTCCCTCCTACCCCCCTTTTTTTTCTTTAAATTCCCATTTTTCAGTAATATTCTAGTAGCCATGACACTGAGAATCCATGTGAGTAGTAGATGCTAGAGCATGTGCTTTGTTCAACCACAGAGAATTTGATTAAGACCTAAATGATACATATGGCAGAACCACGAGGAATTTGGAACATAAGGACTTTTCTTTCTCTCCCCTTTTTGGCTATTTATTTGCTGGAGACAGTGTCCCCTCCCTTCACTTCTACTCCCCTTTCCCTTTATTTTCTCATGGGAGTTGGGGACCAAACTCAGGACCTTCTGCATGCTTAATTTCCTCTGACACTGAGCCACTCCCACCACTTGGTGGATATTTCAGTACGAAACGAAGAGTGCCCAAGCAGGTCAGCCAACACTACAGTCATTTATCTTGTGTTTGTTTTTGTGAGAACGGCATTCTTGTGTGGGTAATAGTGGTGTTTGTGTCTGGTACTTGATTATTTTCAAGTATTGAAACAGGAGACATTTATGCATTGTGCTTCTGTGTTTTCAACAGGTTTGAGAAGTCCACAGTCTGTGCAGTCCATTCGTCCTCCATATCACCGCGCAGTGTCTCTAGATAGCCCTGTTTCTGTTGGCTCAAGTCCTCCAGTCAAAAATATCAATGCTTTCCCCATGTTACCAAAGCCACCCATATTGGGTGGGAATCCACGAGTGGTAGATAGTCAGGAAAATTATGGCTCAAATATTGGTAGGTCACTTCTAATATGTACAAATGATTAAAAGTTGCTTTGGGAAATACTTAAAACCACTTAAATGCTTGAGTTTAAGTAACAAGTTTTATATCACTCACATAATATCATTAATATAATGTTTCCTTCATGACTGTCCTTCATTTATTCTATGTCTTGGTTATTTAAAGTCTTAAATCTTCTGATTTTTAGGACATTTTTCTAACCTGTGATGAGTATGTGGGAAGAGGGCCTATTGAAACCATCTTTAGAGTTCACCAGTTCAGTTCTTAGGACGACAAAGTGTTTTGTCACAGCCACAGTTGTTGTGTGTGTGTAATAGCTGTATCTGTGTGATAATGGAAGAATTTTTATTATGTATGGAAAAGACTAAGTCCTTTTTTTCTGTTCTAGGTGGACCAAACAGAAATGTGACTGTGAACCAGACACCATCCTCAGGAGACTGGGGCTTACCAAACCCCAAAGCCAGTAGAATGGAAGCCATGAGTTCAAACTCCATGGGAAGACCTGGAGGTGATTACAATGCTTCCATACCGAGACCTGCAATGGGGGGCTCTATGCCCACCTTGCCTCTTCGGTCTAATAGTATACCAGGTGCAAGACCAATGTTGCAGCAGCAGCAGCAGCAACAGATGCTTCAAATGAGTAAGTATACCTTTTATAAAAGAAGAGAAAGAGAAAGTGAGATGTGTTAAGACTAATTGTTACTATTGACTCGTTTGAAAATTTAAACTTTCCTTATGTTCCCCCAGGGCCCACTGAGATTCCCATGGGAATGGGAGTCAATCCCTATGGCCAAGCAGCACCATCTACTCAAACAGCTTCCTGGCCAGATAGCATGTTGTCCATGGAACAAGGCCCTCAAGGGACACAAAACAGGTGGGACTGCAGAAAATGTAAACAGTAGATTTAGAAGAGTCAGAATAGGAACAATCCTGAAAGAGAACATAGTAAGTTCTTTATGATTGAGGTGCTTGGTTACTGGCTGCTGAGGCTTCCACAGGGGAGGGGCGAGACAGAACTGTACTGTTCAGCTTCAAGGTACTGCTATTGCAGGAGAGATGACTTCTTTCCTAAAACCATGAGGAGGATAAGGTGCAAGCATTTGATAAATAAATGCGTATTCTTACCATTTTTATAAATACTGTTCAGAGGGTATGCCTCAGGTTTTCTGAGAAATTTTAAGGATTGAATTTATTTCCTAAAATCATGTAAAACATTTCAGGGATGTAAAGCCAGGACTGTATAATCTGTATTTTATTTTTATTTATTTAGTGTTTTATTTACACCATCTGGGGCCACCATCCGAGCCAATTACAACAAAAAACTCTGTTGGCAGTCCACCACACTGTGTTCTTTGATAGCAATGTAGTTCTTTTGAGGACTCCCCAACTTTAAAGTGTGCTAACAAGTATTCTTTTATTGAGAGTGGCACCTTCTCCCACCTTTCCCATCCCAGTCTCTGCTATCCCCAAACACCTAGGATCTGGCATTTGTAGTTTTGGCATTGGGGATATTAGCTAGGTACAGTGGTGCTCTAAGATAGCCTGGTGAGGTTTTAAAATAATGTGTCTTCACAGTAAATTTGCCATTTACTGTTCACTGCTAGCAGGTTTATTAATATCTGTAGTATGTATGTATGTAGTATGCGTAGTATCTGTACTATTTTTAGTGTACTATTGTACACTAAAAATATTGTGCATGGTTATTGTAATCTATTTCTTTTTTCAAAAAAGCTCTGATTTTTCTTTCCTTTGTGGTTCTGGGGATCAAACTCAGGGACAGGTGAATGTCAGGCAACAACCCCAGCCCCTAACACTATTAAAATTGATCACAAGCTTCTCTCCAGGCCTCTTCTTAGGAATTCCTTGGATGATCTTCTTGGACCACCTTCTAATCTGGAAGGCCAGAGTGATGAGAGAGCATTGTTGGACCAATTGCACACACTCTTGAGCAATACGGATGCCACAGGTCTGGAGGAAATTGACAGAGCTTTGGGCATCCCTGAGCTTGTAAACCAGGTGAGTTGGATTAACATGGAGATGGAGTGTGTATGAGTGTACCATAAGTGTGCATGTTTGTATGTCCAGGAAAACAGGCAAAGGAATGCCTGTACCAGTGTCTTTCCTAGTCCTAGAGTACCAGCCTTAAGCAAAAAAAAAATGCTGAGAGACAGTGCCCAGGCCCTGAGTTTAAGCCTCAGTACCAGCACCAATAAAATCCCCAAAACAAACAAACCCCAAAGCCCCAAGACCAAAAAGCTATGTAAAGAAAGTTTCAGAAGAGATACGGCAAACTAAGAAGTCCTTAGACAGGAGAGAAGTTGGGGTTCTGGAAAGCAAGCAAAAGTCAGCAAGATCAGATGGAGAATGGTAAAAAGAGGTTTATTTTGGGGAGCAGTTGTTACTGGAGATTGAACTCAGGGGCCTTGCCCCAGGCCTTCAGATTTTTATCCACCCCCCCACACTTTCCCCCCCAGATAGGCTCAGGAGTTTTTTGTTTTTGGGGGTTTTTTAGTTTATCTTTATTACAAAAAAATGACTTCATGTGAACCTTGAAAATCATGTCTACAAATTACATAAAACTTCATTGATCACAATGAAGTGTGTATGTGTGTGTATGTGTGTGCGTGTGTGCATGCACTTATGGGTGTGTGCATGCTGGTCCTGGGGCTAGAACTCCTGAACTTTTGTGCTCAAAGCTAGTGCTCTACCTGTTGAGCCACAGCTCCACTTCTGGTGTTTTGGTTATTAATTGAAGATAAAGAAGCTCATGGACTTTTCTGCCTGGGTTGGCGTTGAACCATGATCCTCAGATCTCAGCCTCCTGAGTGGCTAGGATTACAGGTGTGAGCCACTGGCACCCAGCAGGAAGGCATTTCTTTCCTTTTTATTTCCTCCTTCCCATTATACATTTTAATTGGTTTATTTTCTATATGGACTTGGGAAGTCCATGTTCATTAATTACAGAAATCTGATTTGGAGCAAATAACATCTTTTTCTTCAGACATTTAGATATGAGATTCTATGCTAGGCACTAGGATACAATTCTGAACAGAAACTTCAGATAATAAACTTGTTGATTTTGCTTTTGGAATTCTAAAGCATTTGTTCACATATATTGGCTTTATCACCTTCTTTAAAATGTTTGCTTTGGGTTGTTTTTGCAGATGTACTAACTATTGTTCACTGATGTATTTGATGTCCAGGGACAGGCTTTGGAGCCCAAACAGGATGCTTTCCAAGGCCAAGAAGCAGCAGTGATGATGGATCAAAAGGCAGCATTATATGGACAGACATACCCAACCCAGGGGCTACCAATGCAGGGGGGCTTTAATCTTCAGGGACAATCACCATCATTTAACTCGATGATGAATCAGATGAACCAGCAAGGCACTTTTCCTCTCCAAGGAATGCACCCTCGGGCCAATATCATGAGACCTCGCACGAACACCCCAAAGCAGCTTAGAATGCAACTTCAGCAGAGGCTTCAGGGCCAGCAGGTAACCAGCCAGCCAGTCTGGTGCTTGGATATTGCTCCTTGGTTCCACTTTGCTTGTTTCATTGGTCTTCAGACTACATTCCTCAGCTGTCTACCTGCACCAACTAGAGAAATTCATTTTGTTCTCATTCCTGTATAAGATTTCATTTGCACGAATGGTTCCTTGTTAAGGAGTGTTTGTGATAGAATTAACACCTTTATATCTTACAGTTTAAAAATGCCAGAAAGGATTATTGTTCTGGGGGGGGAAATTGTTGATAACTTTTTAGTCTGAAATATACTTTTCAAGTCCTTAATGCTAACAACCAAATAAAACTATCTTGATTGTAGTCTGTGTGCCTGCCCAACCTCCCACCCCTTTTTTTTTGTTTTAGACTGGATCTTAAGTAGCCTATACTAATGGCTAGCTCACAGTTCTCATGCCTCAGCCTCCTGCCTGCTGGGATTAGAGGTGTGTTTCACTGCAGCTGACAATTTCCACATATATATATTTTTTAACAGAAGCTATTTTCTAGATGTTTTGCAAACATCTAGATGTTTTATAAAATTAGACCCTTCCCCCTGAATGTTTCAAGATAGAATTTGTTTTACCCATTAGTTCCTTAATCCCCAACTAGTGTTTTAAAATACAATTACTTGTGTGTTTTGTGTCTTTAAGTATGTGGAATTAAGAGATGAAACTAAACCTTATACATAGAAGAGTGACTGGAATTTAGGATCCAGGAAGCCAGAGACTCTAGTTCATAAGTGTTTTTGTTGTTGTTTTTGTTTGTTTTTGTTTTTTTGGGGGGGTCCGGTCGTGGGGCCTGAACTCTGGGCCTGGGCGCTTGTCCCTCAGCTCTTCAGCTCAAGGCTAGTGCTCTACCACTTGAGCCACATCGCCACTTCTGGCTTTTTTTCTTTTTGCTTATGTGATGCTGAGGAATCAAACCCAGGGCCTCAGGCATGCAAGGCAAGCGCTCTACCACTGAGCCACCTTCCCAGCCCCTGTTGTTGTTGTTGTTGTTTTTTTTTTGCCAGTCCTGTGACTCAGGGCCTCTGCCCTGTCCCCAAGCCTCTCTGTGCTCTACCACTTGAGCCACAGTGCCACTTCCAGCTTTTTCTGTTTATGTGCTACTGAGGAATCAAACCCAGGGCTTCATGCATGCAAGGCAAGCACTCTATCACTGAGCCACATTCCCAGCCTCTCAAGAATGTTCTTTTTTTTTTTTTGGGGGGGGGGGGGTCCAGTCGTGGGGCCTGAACTCTGGGCCTGGGCGCTGTCCCTCAGCTCTTCAGCTTAAGGCTAGCACTCTACCACTTGAGCTACAGCGCCACCTCCGGCTTTTTTCTTTTTGCTTATGTGGTGCTGAGGAATCGAACCCAGGGCCTCAGGCATGTAAGGCAAGCGCTCTACCACTGAGCCATCTTCCCAGCCCTCATGAATGTTCTTAAACGTCAGTTTAGGACTCATGAAAGCTATGGTCATGTATCATCATCTTGTTTATATAATTCCACTGAAAGTCACTTAGGAAAAGATAACAGATGAGCACTTTATTCAGCATTACTCTCATCAAGGAGAAGCTATTTCTTCAAGTGCCTGAGCAATCTCAGGAGGAAACTTTAAATTTGTATTTCCACTAATGTATTCTTTAAGCATACAGTTGGTTATTACCACGACCTCCCTGGGTGGTGCTGAGAGGTTGCAGTGCTGTTTGGGTTCATTAATGCACTGCACCTGCTTACTAACCATCCTGTCTCCCTCCAGTTTTTGAATCAGAGCCGGCAGGCACTTGAAATGAAAATGGAAACCCCCAATGCTACTGCTGCTGCTGTGATGAGACCCATGATGCAGCCCCAGGTGAGCTCCCAGGTGAGTGCAGGCCCCTCCCTTCACTGCCACTCCTACTGCAGGCTCCTGCTTGGCTCTCAGTTCTTGCTGTCTGAAAAATCAGAGTCATTCTGAATTTTTTACATAAGAATCTGTTCCATTGCACATTGCCTTCATCCATTCTTAGTCTTAGTAAGTGAGTGGAGAGATGGAGAGGAGTGAATGTAAAAGCCACCAGTGAATGGGTTTACTTTATCTTACTTCCCTTATGATCACAAACTGTTGCTTAGCTTCTTAGGAATTTAAACTAGCAACACTGAATGTTTCTGTTCCTGGATTATGAAGCCACATGCCTACTGGGTAAAAAGCAGATATAAAGAAGGGAAAGATACTACATAATCTGATCCTCAGAGACAGCCTATGAGACCACCTGTTTCTTCTAGTGTGAGAGTCTGGGACAGCTCTTCACCCCAGCTAGGGTGGAGGTCACGTGGAGGTGGTTTCTCAGTGTTCAAGAGACAAGTAACCATGTGGCACACTTCTCTATTGTGCTTGAAAATACTGTCATGATTGTTTCAAAACAGCTGTGAAGTGCCTGGCTTCCACTATCTTATGCCTATTTGGAATTACTAAATGCTGTTTTATTCCTTCTGTCCTTCCTTATCCTACATACATTCATTCATTCATTCACTGGACTTGATGTTTGAATTCAGTGCCTTGCACTTGCTAGGCAGGCACTGTACCGCTTGAGCTGCACCATTAGTCTTTTTAGCTTGTTACTTTTCAGATAGTCTTTCATTTACACTTGGGCCAGTCTGGACAGCAGTTCTTCTATTTATGCTTCCCATAAAGCTGGGATCACAAAACATGTAGCACTATGCCCAGCTGCTTGCTGGTTGAGAAGTGTTCTCACAGACCTGTGGCCAGGGCTTGCCATGGACTGTGTATCTCAGCTTCTTGAGTAGATAGATTACAAATGTGAACCACTGTACTTGTCATGATTTCTTAATAATCACCATCATGTTTTAAGCTTTATGCCTTCCAAATTGATGATAAGTTTGCTTGATGATCTTCCTGTTTGGTAAGCTCAAGTCAGTATGTTTTTAGTCATTGATCATGCTACTGCCAGACACTGGTCATACCACCTTAACTCTCAGACAGCTTTGTTCTTTCCTTTCAAGAGATTTAAGGATCACCAGATCTTTTGAGGTCCTTGTTTATCTGAGTATAACCCCATTTTTTTTTTTTTTGGTCAGTGTGGGGCTTGAACTCTGGGCCTGAGCGTTGTCCCTCAGCTCTTCAGCTCAAGGATACCGATCTATTACTTGAGCCACAGTGCCACTTCTGGCCTTTTCTGTTTAAGTGCTGCTGAGGAATCGAACCCAGGGCCTCATGCTGAGAGGCAAGCACTCCACCACTGAGCCACCTTCCTAGCCTCCCCCACCTTTTTTTTAAGGGGGGAGGTGGGTGTGCCCCCTTCCTTCTACCCCAACAGATTCTTAGTGCTATCCTTGTTCTCTTTACAAGAGTTTCACTGATGCCCAGGCTGGCCTTAAACTCCTGGGCATAGTCAATCCCCATTGCTCCTCCTAGCCTCCCAAGTGCTGGGACGGGGTGCATGTCAGCATGCTGGGCTCAGACAGCCTTTATCATAAAGGATTGTACATTTCCTTTTTCTCATAATTAGTACAAAAGGCTTCTGGAGTGTTGTGGGCACTGCTGGCATGGAACTGGTTGTTCTCACTCTACACATGTAACTGTGTTCTTTCTTGGACATTAGCAGGGTTTTCTAAATGCCCAGATGGTCGCTCAGCGCAGCAGAGAGCTGCTGAGTCATCACTTCCGACAACAGAGGGTAGCAATGATGATGACGCAGCAGCAGCAACAGCAGCAGCAGCAGCAGCAACAGCAGCAGCAGCAGCAAAGCCAGGCCTTTAGTCCACCTCCGAATGTCACTGCCTCCCCCAGCATGGATGGAGTTTTGACAGGATCTGCAATGCCACAAGTGCCGCCCCAGCAGTTTCCATACCCACCAAATTATGGTAAATTAGACTGAGTATGTCTTCCTCCAAGTTCCATTACTAAGGGTGTATCTTCACCAGGCCGCTTGTATGTGAAAAATTGAACACTATTCACTTCATCTTGTTGCTTCACAAGAGAACTAAAATTAATCACCAGTGATGGTAAACAAAGAGGTTTGCTGCAGTGCCCAGGAAATTGAGGCAAACGTACTCTATTATAGTTATTTTTTCAGACAGGCCTTATTTTTTTAGGTAACGATCTCTTCATTTATGAGAAAGATTACAGAGTTCTTCCTCATCCCTTCTTACATGTTCCCAGTATGGTGAGTCTGTGAACATTTGTTAAGTCAGTAAGAGTAATATAGTGTGGGCCTTTAAATGCATTTCAGCTCAGCCTTTGAGAGGTTCCAGGGACATGGTAGGGATTAGGATGTCATGGTTCATCCCAGCCCTCAGGAGCAGTGGCTTCTGCCTTCTCCAGAGGGTCAGTAATAGGAAGTGCTTTCATGTGCAGTGGTCATGAAAGCAAATTACCTAGACAGGGTAGCATTCTGTGTAAGTAACTACAAAGTAACTGGGAGACAGCTTTGATACCACTTCTTTTCTTGATTGTGGGGCTTAAACTCAGGGTCTGGCCACTGTCCCTGAGCAATTTTGCTCAAGGCTAGTGTTCTTTCTGCCACTTTGAGCCACAGGACTACTTCTGGTTTTTGGAGTGCATTGGAATTTCATGGATTTTCCTGCCTAAGCTGGCTTTGAACCACGATTTTTAGATCTTAGCCTCCTAACTAGCTAGGATTTCAAGAGTGAGCCACCAGCACTCGGATTTGCTACTACTTTATATTCTGTACTTAATACTTCCTCCCACCCTTTTTCCAGAAAAGAGCAGAAGGCTGCTATGGAAACCTGGAGGTTCTAAGTTGCTAGTGTTTGAGCATTGCAATTTCTTGTTCTTGCTTTCTTCAAGGAATGGGTCAACAACCAGATCCAGCCTTTGGTCGAGTGTCTAGTCCCCCTAATGCAATGATGTCATCAAGGATGGCTCCCTCCCAGAACCCCATGATGCAGCACCCTCAGACTGCACCCATGTACCAGTCCTCAGAAATGAAGGGGTGGCCATCAGCAAACCTGGCCAGGAACAGGTAAAGATGACTGACATCCTAATGTAGAAACCCAGAATACACTGCATTTCCAGTCATACTAGCTGCATGGAGAGATCACATGGTCTGAGTTCCTATTGGAAGTGGGATGTGTTGTATGATGTGTGGCAAGTGCTTTAGACTGTATGCACATGTTGGTTAAAATGTGCACTGAAGAGTAGCTATGAAGAGTAGAAGCACAAGTTTTCTCTCTGTTTCTGCTTAAGTATGGGGACAGAATTGTGCCAGGTCCTGTGTGTGCTGTTCTCACATGCTTCTCTCTTCTCAGCGCCTTTCCGCAGCAGCAGTTTGCTCACCAGGGTGGTGCTGCTGCATATAGCATGGTGCATATGAACGGCAGCAGTGGCCACTTGGGACAGATGACCATGAGCTCCATGCCTATGTCCGGCATGCCCACGGGGCCTGACCAGGTATGGAGTTTGTTCCTTTGTTCCTTCCTTCCTTAAGACTCTTGTCTTCCTCTGCAGAGAACCAGAGCCCCCATTATAATCTAAAGGTCTTAGGAAGGACCATTCACCTTGGGTCTAAAACTATACTGAAAAAAATAGTTTTGAGGTCCTGAACCATGAGGATACTTTATGTGTATTACCTGGCAAATCCTGTGCTAGGTATAGGTTTTCTTTATTGTGTTGAGCATATTTTACCCAGGTTTTCTTGTTTCTAACAGAAGTACTGCTGACCTCTCTATACTGGGACCGCTAAGGAAACCACTGCCCAAAAGATACTGCATAGGGTCATCAGGAGGTGATGCATCCAGCTTGGAAGCACCAACCAGCCTTGAGCTTCATCACAGTCTTCCAAGTAATGCCATTGGATCAGGACTGGATGAGGACTGGACCTGAAGCTGAAGTGCAGTATCTACCATCTACCTGTTTCCTTACTTGTGTGCACCATCGTGTTCCAAACCAGTGTTTTCAGCCTTCTGCTTCATAGCAGTGTTGATTCTGGAGAGAAGTAGGGGGTTCCTGATGACAACAGTCACAAGGGTTTCTCTAGCAGCAGTCTGACATAGAGTATAGGCCTGGCCCTTAGTGTTTTGGTTTCTATCAAGTAGGTCTGCGTTTGCCCTTTTATGTGGTGGCGTTGGCATTTCCATATTCATGTCCTTTATTGATGGTGTTGAGTGCTGTCTCTCGCTGTTGTCCTAGGTTTCCTCCCCATAAAGATTTTCATTAAGCCCTGATGCCCTGAAACACCCCAGGACTTGTCATTGAAGTCAAATGGCTTTGCAGAAGGGAAAATGAGATGACAGTGTTTAATTGCAGCAGTGGCAAATTTTTCATATGCTAACGTGCAGCTGAGTGCACTTTATTAAAAAAAAATAATGGATAAAATGCAATATTCCTGAGGTCTTGAGGAATGGTGAGCCACATTCTTGGTTTTTGTCAACACTTATTTGTTGGACAGGAGCCATGATTTAAAACATTAAAAAAAAAGTACTGGTGTCACCCTTTGCCTATATGGTAGAGCAATAATGCTTTTTAAAAATAAACTGAAAACCCAAGGCCAGGTACTGCATTCTGAATCAGAATTTCGCAGTGTTTCTGTGAATATTTTTTGTAAATATGACCTTTAAGATATTGTATTATGTAAAATATGTATATACCTTTTTTGTAGGTCACATCAGCTCATTTTTACAGAGTTCATGAAGCTTAAGTATTTAACTTTTGTCAATTTCAGTAAGCCCCGTGTGCCGAGGCTGCAACAGAAGCAATGCTCCTCGATCTCCTGGCTGGGAGAGGCATGGCGTCCACAGCTTTTCCTCTCCCAGCCTTGGCCTCACTCTTACCAATCTCTTGATCTAAATACGTTTTTTTTGTTTGTTTTGGGTTTTTTTTTGAGGGGCGGGGGAAGGTCAGTTGTGGGGCTTAAACTCAGGGCCTGGGCACTGTCTCTGAACCTCTTTGTGCTCAAGGCTAGTGCTCTACCACTTGAGCCACAGTGCCACTTCTGGTTTTGAGGTGGTTAGTTGGGGATGAGTCTCACAGGGATTTTTATTTCTACCTGGGCTCGCTTTAAATCACAATCCTCAGATCTCAGCCTCCTGAGTTAGGATTACAGGTGTGAGCCACCAGCACCTAAATGATTTTTTTAGAGATCATTTGTTTAGATGAAAGCATTTAAAATTCCTCTCCCAGAGAATGAAGCACTTTGTTACTTTTGGGGGGAAAGAATAGATATGGGGAAATGAGCTTAAAAATTAAAAAAAAAAACAGGAATTAAGGAAATAAGCAATTCGATTTCAAAACAAATCTTTTGGGTTTCAAGCAGTCCCTAAGTTACTCACTTTCCATCCGGTTGAGTGAGATCTTGTTTGCGTTGAAGTCAGGTAGAATCCACCGTCTTGTCACTCTGCTTATGTGGTGTTCAGTTGTCCAAATACAGTTTCGTGTTGTTTCTTCCGGGGCTCAGAACCCAGAGCTGCCAATTCTGACCTGAGCGCTTTTGCACTTCTCCTCTACCCCTCCATTTCCTCTTTGCCTTCCTGCCATCCATTCTAGCGGCTTGCAGTGGGGGAACCTTTATCTGGGTAATTAGATTCAGTTGAATTAAGCTGGGCTTTTAGGATATATCTGTAAATATCAAGTCTCTCATAGCATTGGTGCCATTTTCTAGTGAGAACCAAGAGCTAGTTAAACTTTTTAAAATTTGACGATTTATCCAGTCTTTCTTCTAGATGTCTCAGAATGTAAGCTCATTTAAGCTTAAGAACAAGTGAAGTCCATATTTCCAGAATCACCACTAGAGTGGATTTTATTTATCTATCAGTGTGTGCAATATCGTGAGTTTGTACCACTGCCCCAGCTTCAGTAGATCTCCCATGGTAGATCCGGAACTGCTCTTGTGCTGGTCTGTGCTTTTCTGACTGTGCCTTCTGTTCTGCTGGAGGCAGGCGGGACACAGCCCAGCCGAGCCTTCCTCCCTCTACCTGTGTGCGTGGAGAGGGGGAGGGTGCATCTGCCTTTCTTAGTCACCAAAAAACCTGCAATTCTTCCTCAGTCTTAACTCCAGGTCAATTGGAAGGCAACAGCACCCACTTTTTTTGTATGGGGGAAATGAAGTTTATTATAAGTTTTTATATTTTCTACTTGTTGATTTTACTGGTGCAAGCTCAAGATTTTTATTTTCTTTAATAGATGCAGTCTGTGGCTAACTTGTTTTTACTTGGAGCCTGTTCCTCTTGTTTGGGTAAATTTCTCTGTACTCCTGCCCATCTCTCCTCACTTCTACCCCGGTATAAATGGAGGTTATCTGTTGGGTGAACAGTAGAAGTAATTTTTTCATCTGCTTTTAGAATGTGGGATATTTCCATTACCTACTTTTTCTTTGCTGAATCCAAAGATATATAAATAAAAAATATATTTTATGAAGATCAGAATGATATTAAGGAGCTACATGTTTCTGCTCATTGTGGGTGTGCAGTCAATGCGACTGGGCATGTGGATCGAAAGGGGTGCATACCAGAACCCAGTCCCACCTTAGGTAGTGTTAGCTACCTAAGGGGGCAGAGACTATGGAAGGTAGCTGTTTGATGTTTGAAGTTCTCTCATCCAGAGTTGGTGTAGCTAGAAAGTAAAGAGAAGGACTGGCAGTTGTCCATGTGTGTCCATGTGCCGGTGGGTTTCCTTTCATGTGTACAAGCTGGGCGTTTTGTTCCTAAGCAGCGAATGCTGTAGGAAGGGGAAGCATCCCTACAGCAGAAGAACAAAGAGCTGTGTAGCTCCCCAGCAAGCTCTTCACAAACAGGCAGGTGTTGTCTTCTTTCTTCCCTCTTTTCTCTCTTCCTTTCTAATACATTGTGTCTAAAGAAGATGGAAATGTCATTCTGAGCAATATTTAAATTCTCAGGAATTAACTTAGATTATTAAGAATGAATTTGGGTTCAATCAAGTGTACATTAAGTGTTGCTTAAAATGAAGTCATTCTTCACACTGCAAAGAACCTAGGCCATGCGGGATGACTGATGAGATGGGGGAGCAAGCTGTGACTGCTTTTCTGACCATTTTGGATGTCCTTGTAAATAAAGGTTTCTATTTAACATTGGAGCCCAAGAGCATGATTTTTCCTCTTCCTCCTCACTTTTGGCATAAAGGTAAAAGGGGAGGCTAAAGAAGCCTATTTTAAATTGCAGCAGCCGTTCTGTGATACTAAGACCATTTAAAGCCATTTTTCTCCCTAGGGGCTAGGTGTGTTTGGGGCACTGCTACATGAGCATGGGAACCTGAGAACTTTGGTTGAGAGATCTCCTGAACTACTGGTGAACTATACATACCTCCTCTTTTAGAACCCTCACAACATGCTATGCCAGGTTAAAACTACCCCCCTATGCAGGCAACTAGCTGAGGTGTAGCCAAGAGGAGCTATTACTCAGTTGAGGAATGTAGTTCCAAAATGAAGTCTCAAGCCTGGTCTGGCTTGAGCCGCACCTGTGAGGTTGTATGGCAAATGTATAACCATCTGTTCATCTTTATACATCCTCCACACTGAAGGCATCTCCTTCAAAAAGGTGATGACTGTTAGTTTCTTGACTGCTTAAAAAAAAGGCAAAGACAGCAAAAACTCCCAAGAATGGCCTTTTACAAAATCCCAGTTTTTCTTCATACCGACGGCTGGTCATCGGCTGGGATTCTGAACATCATACGACAGTACTTACACTACAAAATTGATTTACAAATACAATGTCATTAAAACGTGGGACATACATCGACTTGGTTTCCTTCCAGTACCTTACAAAAATGTCAGTTCTGGGCTGGACACAGGATGAGTGCCGGGTGGTGTCCGCAGGAACAGGGTGTGCACAGCACCAGGGTCTTCCCCCCACCTTGGCACAGAGCACTCAGACTGACACCACCTGTCTGGGAACTTGGGAACTGTTAGGGGATCTAGTAGGAAATCCCATGTTGGTCCCATGTAAGTAGTCACATATATACAGTGAAGGCAGCTTCCTTGGAGGCAGCCAGGGCATTGGGACTAGGTAAATGTCACTTTTCTTGTGCTCTTCATTCATCACCAAGCTCCACATGCTGCTTTCAGCATCTGTGAGCTGCCCATCTGCTTTTCAGTTCCTTTTCTTGTGACAAAATACAACAGGGGGATGAGTTGAGCAGGGCTGTCTTGCCCTAGGATTTGATTCCATGACTTTTCACCCCCTGGCGGAAGCCTCACTGAACATCTCTCTCTGTTCTTTTTCCCTATGAGCCTTGCAGAGAGGGCTAGTGGTGACTTTGATATGAAAATTCATTGTGCAGCTGCTGAGGTATAATCCAAAGCAAAGCCCAGGCAGAATGGACTTCCTGAAGTCTCTGCTCCTGACAGTGGTCCTCCAGGATTCCCACACTGACTGAAGCAGGCTGTCTCTCAGGCCTTGGGGCCTCAAGCCCAGGTCTGCTGCGAATTGCATGGGTTTCATGGCCTGTCCAGTTAGGTAAGGCCTCTGGTCTTGGAGGTCCATCTCTTTGCTTCTTAGCCTTCCCAGCCTTCCCACAGTTGTCCCCTGTAAAACAGAACAGACATCTCAGCCTTTGGTTGTCATGCTACTTAGGGTTTTGTCTGTCTGTCCTGGGCTTTGAACTCAGGGCCTAGGTACTGTCCCTGAGCTTCTTTGCTTCTTTGCTCAGCTCTGCTTCTGGCTTTCGTGTTGGTTTATTGGGAGATAAGAGTCTCATGGACTTTCCTGCCTGGGCTGGCTTTGAACCACCATCTGCAGATCTCAGCCTTCTGAGTAGCTAGGACTACAGGTGTGAGCCACTGACACCCAGCCGTGCTTAGGATTTCTTAATCAGTTCTAGAGCTATGTTGGCACGGTTCCTGAAAAAGGCGTATTTCTAGGTCACTCAGAACAGAGTTGCTTCCCTAATGGACTCAATTTTCAATTCTTAGCTGCTCACCTGCCGCTTAGTGGCTGGTGAAGATGGCAGTTAAGAATTTGGATAGAGCTGGGTGTCAGTGGCTCACGAGCACCTGTAATTCTAGCTACTCAGGAGGCTGAGATCTGAGCCAGCCCAGGCAGAAAAGACCATGAGACTCTTCTTTCCAATAAACCAACAGAAAGCCATAAGTGGTTCTGTGGCTCAAGTGGTAGAGACTAGACTTGAGCTGAAGAACTCAGGGACAGCGCCCAGGCCCAGAGTTCAAACCCCACGATCGACCAAAAAAAAAAAAAAAAGGATAGAATAGTGCCTGAGGAGGATGTGATGTAAATTTGGAAACACCAAAGAAATACTTAGCTGGCCCCTTGGTTCTGTCCTGTTAGCCACCTGGGTTTTATGCATGAAAAGAAGGAAATAAGTAGACCATAGGTGGCAGCTCCCCAAGGGGAGTTTGACACGATGTCACATTAGTTGCATTCTTAGGCTGGAGGTGTGGCTCAGGTGATAGAGTACCTACCTAGCAGGCAGGAGATGACGCCCTGCATTCAAACACCCAGTTCCCACATAAATCTACATTTTTGGATTTTTTTGATGAATTAGAAGACCTAGCACCCTGCACCTCCCACTCATGTAGGGAACAGATCACTACTTTCTTCAGGAGTGAGGCGAACTTCCCAGGTGGCTGGAAGCCTCTTCCCAGCCCGGAGAGATGGTGCTTAGTGCAGGCATTTTGGAAACAACACAAGGAGGCCACACTTCTGCTGACAGCATGCATCACTGCGTTTGCAGCTGCAGCCTTCCAGATGACGGACGACTAATATCTAAGTCTCAGTTCAGGTGTAGGAAGCATGGATTGTTAGGGAAAACAGCAATGTGTTGGACAAAGTATTAATCTAAAATATAAACTGCATCCACACAGTATCTGATAGGATACTGATAGCTTTGTGTCTCCCTGTGGTCATGGGAGCAGAGGGGTAGTGAGAAGTACAAATTGCCCTGGAAGAAGCAAGTCAAAGATCTGTACACGGGTTCCTCTACTCACAGTGACTTGGAAGAAGGTCTCTTCATTTCTGGCCATTTTCGACGCTGAAACTGCCTGGATGTCAAAAGGAGAATGAAGGTTAACCATTACCGGAAAGAAAGTGACCCTCGAGAACCACACAGGAAGGTGACACATGGTGGGCCATGCAGGCGGAGGAAGGGCAGTTTCTCAAAGCCTCACAGACAAGAGATAAGCCCTCAGGCTTCAGTAACAAATAATACCTGTACTGCTCGTAGCTTCCTCCATCTTTAAGTCCTACAGGAGGGGAGAAATGAACAAATTAGCAACAGCTAGAATATGGTAAAAGGACAAACTGCAACAGCCTTCTAGGAGGTACTGGTAATTGGCTTCACACTTGCTCCCCCAGCTGGTGCTCTACCACATGAGCCATACCTCTAGTCCTTATTTTGCCAGTCTTGGAGCTTGAACTCAGCCTGGGTACTGTCCCTTGAGCTTTTGCTCAGGGTTAGCACTCTACCACTTTGAGCCACAGCACCACTTCTGGCTTTTTCTGTCTATCTGGTATTGAGGAACCGAACCCAGGGCTTCATGCATGCTAGGCAAGCACTCTACCACTGAGCCACATTCCCAGCCCTAGTCCTTTTCTTGAGTCTTTTTGCTCAAACTGGGCTTGTACCACAATCCTGAGTAGCTCAAGATTATAGGTGTGAGCTACCAGTGCTCTGATGTGCCTGCCTGTGATCTTTCCACATGGTCTACTTTGAATTTTGTCTCCTCCACATGTAACTCCAGGGACTGGGGGTACACTCAAGGCAGGCATGACCCCTAGGGCCTCCCTGTGGTCGCTCAGTGCTCTGCAGGGGCACACCGGGGCAACTCACCGAGGTCCATGCTCCGGGTCCGGGGGTTGCATTGCTTGTACCCCTTGCAGCTCCGCAGCTCCATGAGCTGCACGTGCAGCTGATTGAGGACTCCCCTGTCCAGCGTGTCCACCGCATTCATCAGCTGCTTGGCAAAAGACAGGCCATCAACCAAGTGTCTCTAACCAGCAAAAAAGTCCCCAGTATCGGTATCAAGAGACAAACACTCATTTGCAGACATCATGGTGGACTTCTCAGCCATTGCTCAGGAGACGCAGAGCATGGAGAGAAAAGGCCTTCAAAGCTGGGGGTTCATGTCTATCATCCTAACTACTCAAGAGGCTGAGATCTGAGTGTGGTGGTTCAAAGCCAGCCTGGGCAGGAAACTCTTATGAGACTCTTACCTCCAATTAACCACCAGAAAACTGCAAGTGGCGCTGTGGCTCAAGTGGTAGAGCACTAGCCATGAGCTGAAGAGCTCAGGGACACTGCCCAAGCTCTGGGTTCAAGCCCCATGAGCAACCAAAAATAGAAAAAAAAGGAAAGGTTTTCAAGCCTTGGGCCATCGGCGGCCTTTGTTCACAGCCCTGTGGACCCCTCTTGTTGAGAAATCAGCCTTTGGTGATGGGGGGGGGGGGAGCTGGGGGAGCTGCTACAGATGCTGCCTCAGCGCCCTGCTTTGGGTTATGTCCTCTGCTCCTTGCTTGGGTAAAATGAAGGCTGAGGCTGGCTGAAGAATGGCCGGCTGCCTCTGGGATGCCCCAGGCAGACCAGCCGAGATCCGCTGACGTCTGAGTCACATTTCACGTTTCAGCTTTTCCAAAAGACTGGCTCCGTTCCAGGGTCACCGAGGCCGCAGGCGGGCACACAGGGACTGCCCTGGCCAGGGTGCAGTGCCAAGTACGGGTGTCCTGGTGAGGGACACTCTGGTGCTTATGTCACTTCAATCTGTTTAATGAGGTCACCTTTTTCCGGGGAGGGAGGATACGGGGTTCCCGCTCATGTCCTCATGTGGGTTAGGCAGGTGCTACGCCACCTGAACCATGCCCCAGTATGGAGTGGTGTGCAGAGCCCGATGAGCAGCGTCACTCGAATCACTGCAGGGTCCCCGCAGGCCTGCTGTGTGCCCCGGGCTGGGGTCCCCGTGGCGGCCCCCAGAAGTGGACAGAGGCCGAGGGGGGCGGCAGGGCCGTGCCGCGCAGACGTGGGACTGCTGGGGCTGACTGCTTCACAACTCCCTTCCTGTCTTGGGGACCCAGGAGCAGGGGGGTCTCACCAGCAGCCCTCTTTCTCCATGGGTGGTGTGCGTACCTGGTAGGGGTCAGTGTTGAGGTCGAAGTACTCCAGGAAGCCGGTTGCGAACTCACAGAAGAGGAAGTTGTGGGTCTCGTTGATGGTCCTCAGGCACCAGTAGGTGTTGTTATTGGCGCTGGTGCATGCGCAGAAAGGCCCCACTGCCAAGGGAAGAGAGAGCAGGCATGAGGGTGCCTGCAGGAGGAAGCCGGGGCCACGTGACCGCGGTGCCTGCCACCTGCGTCTGAGCTCTGGCCGAGATGCCCCAGCACACGAGCGCGGGGGGCTTCTCCCCTTTTGGCCTGTGCCCGCCCGCGCCCCTGCTCACGGGTCCAGAGGGGTGCGGTCTGCCAGTGCTGGTTGTCGTGTGTGAAGCACGTGAGGCCCGGCATGCTGCAGGTGTCATTGTTCCGCAGCCGCTTCAGCAGCTTGCGCAACTTCTTCTTCCGCTTCTGCTCCCGTAGCAGCCACACCTTGTCCTTCTCCTGCAGCCCCTTCCTGCGGGCACCCAGAGCCACGTGTGACCCCCAGCTTTGGCCCCTGCGGTCCCCCCAGGGCGGGGCCTCAAGTCCAGGGCAGAGCTGGAACCAGAAGCCAGGGCTTCTCTCTCCAGGCAGCCCTGAGGCAGCAGCCCCGGGGAGGGGTTGGCAAATCACGTCCACCCCAGGCCCGCCCCTGGGTGCCCTGCTGGATGAGGCTGCAGCACCCCAGGGGGCCCCCTCTGTTCCCCTGCCCATGTGCTTCAGTTTACAGGAGGGGTTTACCGGAAAGGATGCAGGCTGGAGCCTTTGTGCTTGAGGCGGCCTTTGTGCTGAGCGTGGTAACTGCAACATAAGCCCCCCGCCCCCTGCGTGTCAGGAGTGTGCAGGGCCGGCTGGCAGGTCCCGCTCCTATCTCTGCTCTGTGGGGCAGTGGCAGTGCCAGGAGCCCCTGGCCAAAGGCCAGACTCAGCCACACCAGAAGCTGGCCTGTACTGGACCTGAGTTTTGCAAACCCTTCATACACAGCAGTGTTGTCCAGCCCAGCAGCCTCCAACCACGTGTGAGCTGTAGTTTAAATCCTAGCTCGTTCTTAGCTATGTAGGTTGATGGATATCAGCACAGAGAGCCTGCCAGGGGCCCCTGAGCCACAAGGCCCAGCAATTTCCCAGAGCAGCGTGCAGAGGTGCCTCTCCCGGCCTGGATCCCCCTCCTCCCCCCCCCCCCCCCCTTCCTCACCCATGACCTGTCTCCAGTCAGTGCTGCAGACAGCACTGCTTCCCAGCCCCCTGAGGGGTGTCCCGGGGCTCAGCTGGCTGACAGGAGGGAGGACTGGCATTCCTGTTTCTCTGGTGACCCCAGGGGTGCATCCCCAGGGTTCTGGGGCCTCTGCCCTCTCTGCACCTGATCCTGTGGCAGTCGCACTCTTCCGGCCGCTTCCTCTTCAGGTGACCGCGGACTTCCCTCAGGTTCTTGATTTTGTTTTGCAGGGTCTCGATCTAAGGAATGCGAGAGCAGGCTGGGGGACCCCTGGGCACGATGACCCTGTGGATATGGAGGAGGGGACCCCGTTTCCCCCTGCAGAGGTGTACTCCCTCCTCCTCCAGCCAGGCTCCAGGGAAGGCACTAAGTCCTCCAGCCCTGGCCTTGAACCAGCCAAGCCCTCTGAGCACCCACACAGCTCCCAGGCTGGCGGAAGTCTAGCTGTAGTGCGGCTGCCATGAAGGTAGAGGGTGGCTGTGACCCGACCAATCTGTCTAGTGGGTGCCTGCTGGCCCTGGCGCCTGTCCCTGGGCTGTGGGTTGGGTGGGGGCCCTGGCCTCCAGCCTGACCCTGACAACTGGCGCACCTCGTGGTCGATGTGCAGCTTGTGGTCTTTCCAGGCCTGCAGGGACTTGTACAGGTCCAGGTCGCACTGGACCGTGTCGTTCTCAAGGATGTAGCACCTGCTCAAGAGAAGGAATGAGCCAGAGGCCAGTTCCAGGGCCCAGCCCCGCGCCTCCCGTCTGCCCTGTATGCTCACCGATGGGTCACTTTAATGGGGTTGGGGGCTGTGTAGTCTGGGAGGCCTCCAGTGCCACTGAAGCTCCCAGCATCCTTGTCCTCTTGGTCCTCCGGAGCGGCTGGCCAGTGCCGCTTGGTCAGGTTGCGGGGCGGAAGCGCGTCATCCATGCCCACGTGGTACACCGTGCCTCCCACCTCGATGGCCACCGAGCGGATGGAGCGATTCCGGGTGTAGCTGGCCTTGTACTCTGTGGGTGTCAGGAAAGGCAGCTGGGTTGGGGGGGGGGGGAGGATTGTGGGGTTGTGGAGGGGGAGGGCCAGGGAAGGGCTGCCCACGTCCTGGGCCCTGGGATTACAAGGGGAAGCTATTGCCCAGGGGTTCGCGTGGTGCGTGGCTAGACCAGCCAGCGGTGATGGTCTGCTGAGCGGTACTTACTCTTCTTGAAGAACTTCTTCCGACGTCCGGCCAGGCCCAGCTGGTCCTCCCCGCTGTCACACGTGCACGCCTCACTGCTCGGCCCGTAGTACTTGGGCACCACGTTGGAGAGGGCGCTGCCGCCGCCCAGCCTCACAGGACCCTTACACTTGTGCAGCTTTAGTCTCCCCGAGGCATCCTCCACGCATTGCCACTTCTGCAAGCACACCGGGCCTCAGGAGCCAGGGCCGGGCCGCCCCGCCCCACCCGCCCCTCTCTGGGCCTTAGCTGGCGGCCCAACTACAGCTGCCATCTCCTCCAGCAAGATGCCCACGGCACCTCCCATCCCTGCTTTAGCTGCTCATCTGCATCTAAAGTCCACGTGCAGCCCAGATGGGCTGCTCCCACTTAAAACCTTCTTGACTTCCTTCTGGAACCCAAGCTTCTGTGCCCGTGCACACTCCAGCTTCGCCCTTCCTGCCCGACCTCTTCCTCAGCCCCAGCATGAGGCCGCCACCTGGCCTTTGCACTCACTGTTCTTCTTGGGCTTGTCTAGAATGCTTCTTATGACTTTCCTACCTCAGCCTGAGACAGGAACTGCCATTGGTGGGTATCACAGGACACAGCTGGCAGCGCCCGGAGAACCAAAGCACCAGCCAGTACCTCACCTGCCCCAGCTGCTCGCAGGCCGTCTGGTACTCGGCGCGCTGGCACAGGTCCTTCACCCGCTGGTACTTGGGCAGGAAGTTCTCCTCTTGCGCGTCCACCTTGTCCCCATCCCTCCTGTGCAGCAGCTTGCTGTGGGAGACGCAGGGCCGGCTAAGCTGGCAGGAGTCCTGGGCAGTGTGCACTGGCCGGGGCAGGACCCCACTTGGCTCATGCCTAGCCTCCCTGTGGGGAATGTGGGTGCGCTGCCCAGAGCTCATGGTTTTGGGTAGACCCAGGCAGTTCAAATTTTTTTTTTTTTTGTCAGTTGTAGGGGCTTGAACTCTGGGCCTGGGCACTGTCCCTCAGCTCTTCAGCTCAAGGCTAGCGCTCTACAACTTGAGCTACAGCGCCACTTCTGGTTTTCTGGTGTTTCATTGGTGATAAGAGTCTCACAGACTTTCCTGCCCAGGCTGGCTTTGAACTGCAATCATCAGATCCTCAGATCTCAGCTTCCTGAGATTAGCTAGGATTATAGGTGTGAACCACCAGTGCCTGGCAGCTTATTTATAGGAGCCTTGGGAGTGAAGACAAGGCGGGCCCCATCCGGCTTGTCTGAGGGGGGGTGAGTGCCTGCAGGGATGAGCTCTGCATCTCCCTGGGTGTGGACAGCTCCGTCTCCCTCCTGTGGGCCCCCGGGCTGGCACCACCCTCGGGCTGGCACTTACCCTCTCTCGACCAGGAAGGAGTCCCGCCAGACCCGCAGCTTCTTTTTCAAGTGGAACCTGGGGAACACACGGATTTGCAGTTTCTTACCTAGAGGCTTCTGTGTCCTGCACTGCCAGGGCCAGAGCCCTGAGCTGCCTGACCCAGTCAGTCCGCCTGAGCTGGGTGGGCACTGCAAATCCCTAGGCCAGGCTCTGGGCAGAGCTGTTTCTTCAGACTCAGAGCCAGCAGCTTAGAAGCTGCCCTAAGTTACACCAGTGTGTAGTGCGTATGCATACACATAGACACGTGTGTATGCACACACACACGGCTCCCAGGAGGTGGGAGATCAGCAGGCTGCAGTTCTAGATGTCTCTAGGGGCTGCATTTGGGTGAGCCACACTGTTTTGTGGGCTTCCCAGCTCCCTTTCTCCTATACTTGGGCTCCCATAACAGGAATGTTTCATGCAATGACACAGTCTTTTCCACATTGCAGGTGGCAACACTGAACCCAGAGGGGGCCTTTCCACCTGACACCCCTACTCCCAGATGTGTTGGCATCTAAGCCAATGTCCCCCAGTGATCCCAGCTGGAGGAAGGGCTCAGAGCAAGCCCAAGGTCACAATGGCACCTGGAAGACCATTGCTGGTGCAGTTCCAATGCTGGCCACCAGGGGCTGCTCCTGTTCTTTCTGGTCCCTGTCTGTATTTTTTCCGCCCCGTTCTCTTGCTATTATGCCACTTTGCCCTTCACGTCACTCACTGTCATTCAAGCTACAGTGTGAGTGGAAAAGCCACCAGACTCTCTGGGCTTCACGTTCCCTGATGGTAAGATGGGGCTACGAGGCTGCCCTCCCTTCCCGCTCCATCCTTACCTGTTCCCTGGCCGCTCCGTGTCCAGCAGTTTCAGGATGGACTTTCCATCCATGTCTGCGGGGATGTCCAGGCCGGCAATCTCCAGGATGGTGGGGGCCAGGTCAATGTTGAGGACGATGTGGGGGTTCCTAGGGGCAGGGAGAATAGGGACTTGGCCATGGAGAAGGTGATGCCAGGGCTTGGCTTGAGAGCGGGGCTGCTGGGGGCAGAGGTGGCACCTTCACCTTCAGCAGCTCCACTGTGGACCCAATGCAGGTGACAGCACCCCCTGCTGCATCACACACGCCACAGCATTGTCCCCATCTGCAAAGCCTTCCGGCTTTACAGCCACCCACCCCCGGTCTTCTGGGCCAACCCCAGTCCCTTCCACAGTCTGGTCCTGTCCTAGCCAGCTCTGGTCCCTGGAAGGTCCCTCAGCTTGGAGCCCTTGGGTCGGCAATTACCCGTGGGGCGGGGGCCCCCGGCCTGGGACATCTGAGGGGTTGTCACCAAATGGCCCGTTTGGTGAGGCTGGCCTTGCCATTCCTGAGGTGGCGTGGTGGGGTGTTGCACCCCGACTCACTGGCATTCTTGCCTTTGTCCCACTTTCCACTGGCCTGCTGTGGAGCGGCCGGGCCACCGGGGCCAGACTGGGGGAGGTCCCAGGCTTTCGAGTGACCTGACCATGCCAGCCTGGGCTTCTGATGTACGCACGGTGAGATGGCGCACCTTGGTGAGTTTGTGGTGCCCACAAGCACCAGGGCAGGGTGTCGGCGGATTGCTTCGCCTTTAATGTACCCCACCCCTGCCATGTCCCGCTCCTGCTGGGGGGAAGGTGGGCAGCAGCCGTGTAAACGAGGGGCCAGAAGGCCTCTGCGTGGAGTTGGAGACTGGGTGGACGTGCAGGGTGGGGTGGTGGTGTCCGCCACTCACAGCCACAGCTCACGCTTGGAGCTGTGGCAACAGCTTCCGGGCCAGACTTTCCATCCACCCGTGGTTATCTTAATTGATTTGCCTTATCTGGGGTAAAGGTCATTTCCACTTGCAGCACAAGGAGTTTTGGCTGACAGGTGAAATGTGTGTCGTCATGTCCAAGGTGCAGCCTGGAACAGCACGCGGCCCTCTGCAGGGCGCGGGGCTCAGGGCCATGTGCAGGGCCTGGGAGCTTCAAACAAGGGCTCAGGGCCATGTGCAGGGCCTGGGAGCTTCAAACAAGGGCTCAGGGCCATGTGCAGGGCCTGGGAGCCTCAAACAAGACGCGGGGAGCGTTGTCTCCCACTCAGGCTGATCCAAGGACATTGTCACCAGGATCCCCTGACTTATCTCTGACCTCTCTGTCTCACAGACCTCTGCCTGCTGGAGATTGGGTCACCTCAAAGGATAAGCCAAGGAGAATGGCTGGTGAGGGAAGAGGGGTCCACTTGGCTGTCAGGAGCTGCCGAGCCTGGGATGGAAGCGGAAGCTGGGGACCCCTCTGCTGCAGGCCCTGTGTGAAGCCATGGCTGCTGCACTGGCTCTGAGGGTCCCGTGCGCCCCTGGGGGGCCTGGCACCAGGGGCAGCAGGGAAGGGGGTGGGGCAGGGTACTCACACAGAGCCGGCCTCCACATTGGGGCCCCGTATGTAGAATGGGACCCTGATGTCGAACTCATAGGGCATGGACTTGCCCTTCACCAGGCCAAACTGGCCGATGTGGTAGCCGTGGTCGGCGGTGTACACGATGTAGGTGTTGTCCAGCTCGCCCGTCTCCACCAGCATGTTGTAAATCTACAGCGCAAACCCAGAGCTGAGGAGGCGGAGACGAGGCCCCCACCGCCCCTGGTGCTGGAGACCCAGACCCAGACCCAGACCCAGGCCCAGACCCAGACCCAGACCCAGGCCCAGACCCAGACCCAGACCCAGGCAAGGCCCAGGCCCAGACCCAGACCCAGGCAAGGCCCAGGCCCAGACCCAGGCCCAGACCTAGACCTAGGCCCAGGCCCAGACCCAGACCCAGGCCCAGGCCCAGACCCAGACCCAGGCCCAGACCCAGACCCAGACCCAGGCCCAGGCCCAGACCCAGACCCAGGCCCAGACCCAGACCCAGACCCAGGCCCAGACCCAGACCCAGACCCAGGCCCAGACCCAGACCCAGACCCAGGCCCAGGCCCAGGCCCAGGCAAGGTCCAGGCCCAGACCCAGGCAAGGCCCATGCCCCACCCTAGGACAGCCCTTCCCTCCCTCTGCAGGGACCCCACACCTCTTTTTCTTACTCTGTGCCAATACTGGGGCTCGAACTCAAGAGCCTCAAGCTCTCACTTGACTTGTTTGCCCACAGCTGGCTGCCTACCACTTGAGCCACGCCTCAGCCTTTTAATGGCTAATCCGAGATGGGAGTCTGGCAGACTTTCCTCCCTGGGCTGGCTTTAGACCTCCATCCTCACATCTCAGCCTCCTAAATCGCTGGGATTACAGACAGGAGCCACTGGCTCATCTTATCTCCTTCATTTCCCTTTTGTTCTCTGACTCTCTCAGTAAATGTTGAATGAATGAATGCAAGAAGCTGGATGTAACCGGCAGTGGCTACTGACTGGCACCTCAGGGCCCAGGCTCCTTCTGGATGGCTCTGTTGTCTCCCTAGATGGACAGGGACCCTGGATCTCCAAGGGCCACTGCTAAGTTCCCTGGGCTGAGCCCTTCAGGATGTGGATTCTGTCCTGGGCGTGGCCTCACGGGGGCGTGGCTTCTGGGGGGTGTGGCTCCTGGGGGGTGTGGCTCCTGGGCGCATGGCCTACCATCTCCATGGAGTCATCCACTGACAAGAGCGTCTGCAGACGCTTGCGCTGAAGCATGTTGGTGAACTCCATGTGGATGGGCTTCATGGGCCCCGTGTAGCGCATGATCCAGTGCTTGTCCGGGTTGGGTGCGTAGTTGTAGCTGGGCGTGCTGGCAGCAAACACAGGGTGATCAGGCCAGAGCAGGGGATGGAGGGGCCCAGGGATTGGCCCTCCTGCCCACCCCACCACCCCATGTCCTGCACGCACGGTCCGCACGCGTGCGCGGGTGGCACTGAGGCCCACATCTGGGACATGCTGCGTTCTTTCACCGCAACATTGCTTGTAGGTTTTGTGTTCTGTCTCTTGCTCTATAGCCCAGGCTGGCCTTGAACTCGTGACTGTCATGGCCTCACATGGTCACCCCAGGACCCTGGCTGCCAGGGTGTGTGGTTTAGTCTCATTTCCTAAGGAAATGGAGGACCAGAGAAGAGCAGATTTGCCCCGGGTCTCCGGCTGCGTGGTAGCAGTGCGCCTGCTTGTGGGTTTCTCACGCTGCATCCTCCCCGGGAGAGAAGAGGGGGGACAGAGGCCCAAGGTAGCCCTGGGGCTCCACCGCCAGTGGCTGAGATGGCCACCAAACCTCCTGGACACCTGTGTGGGGGCCCCTCGATCACGGGAGCCCCAGCAGAACTTGCGCCACGATAAGCCCACAGAAGCTGAGGGCTCCTGGTGTGGGAAACACCCTGTAACCTCTGATCCCCTCCCCAAACCCAGGGCGCCTCCCAACTCCTGAGCTCAGGCTGGGCCCCCAGACAGACCTCGGCTACCCAGACCCCACCACCACACAGGCTCTGGCGGGCCAGGGGGGTTCCGCCACCATGTGCAGCCCCCTCCCCAAAGGACGGAATCCCAGCATTCCACAGGGGAGACCCTTCCGGCCCTCACAGTGACTGTCCCCCCAAACACAAACAAAACACAACAGCAATCAGCGCACAGCAGGGGACTCCCACTGCCCACCGGGTCCCTCAGATCCCACCCTTATCCCGGTCTGAGCTAAAAATAAGGGTGAACGTCCACCTCTGAAGACAAAGGGATTCTTGGCAGGAGGGCTGAGACCCGGGCCAGGGAGGGGAAGGTGGAGTGGGCTCCGGAACCAGAGCTCTGCCTTGACGATCAGCAGGTCTGGGGTAGGAACAGCACAGTCACAGCTGACCATGGCAGAGCCTGCTGCTGCGGGCAGGGAAGGAAGCCACAGCCTCCATCCTCCCGGACCTCCCTGGCTGATCCCCCACCTCCTGCTGCTAAATCCTGCCTGGGGCCAGGCATCCTTTGATTCCGTAAACCGCTGCTGCTGTCCCCTGCGGCTGGCCAGGCCTGACCTCAGTACATTCCGACAACAGGCTGCCTCCCCTCCATGTCCAGACTGGAGTGGGTGTGTGGGGCTGCTGGGCCCAGGGCCAGGCTGGGGACTGGGGGGAAAGGGAAGTGGGGGAAACGTGTGCTTCCTGGCTATCCCAGACTGGGGAGTGGCTGCTGTGATCCAGAGAACTGAGGGGCCCGCAGCTGCCCGGCCGGTCCTGCAGGGGTGCACAGGCTGGCAGCATGGGCCCCTGCGCTGGGCTGAGCTCTCTGGGGTGTTGGATGAAGGTGTGAAGCCCTCACCTCCCAAGCACTGCGGGCTGCCCGCGTGCCCGTGTCCCCGAAGTCTAGAGGACATCCCCTCCCTGCTGCTGGAGGGGACAGCAAGGGCACATCAAGGTGCCCCTCCTGTGGTGCACCTGCCCCCCAGGCTGTCACCCCGGCCCGTGTGTCGCCACAGGGGGAGAGGGAAGTGTGGACCGGCAGACACGGAACCCGGAAGGAGGGCAGCCCAGGCTCCTCAGAGGGGTGCACCTTGTGCACGTCTGCTGTGGCCTGTGTCTGTCTGTGTGCCTGGCTGTGTTCTTCAGGGTGTATCTGTCCGCTTGTGTCGATCTGTGTGTGTGTGTGTGTGTGTGTGTGTGTGTGTGTGTGTGTGTGCGCCATGTGGGTGGAGGGGGTGGACAGGGGATGGGGCGCCCATTAGGCCTGGCACAGGCACAGGCACAGGGCAGGGCGGGGCGGGGCGGGGCGGGGCCGGGTAGGCCTGCTTGGTGAAGCAGATCCAGAGCCAGCCCAGCAGCCGTGTACACACACACACACACACACACACACACACACACACACACACACACACACACACACACACACACACACACAAAACCTCTCCTCTCCCTTCCCCGAGGGTCACAGTTAAAAGTCCCAGCTGTAGACTATTGCTGTCTTTAGTTTTGCTTTGGGAATGACTGCATCCCAGAGATGGGGGCTTCCTCCCCCCCAAATCAAGGCAGAGAGGAGGCTGTGCTGCTCCTGCTCACGTTCATTCTCTGTCATTTCCATCTCAAAGGGGCAATAAAGGCGCAGGCAGTGTCGAACAGCCCAGCGGCAGGCAGGCAGGGCCCTCGGGGCTGGAGGGGTCACGGGCCCTTAGCAGGGGAGGGGGAGGCTCCCTGTGTGTATGGAGGGGGGCCAGGCCGCAGAGCCCACAATGCAGCTCATCATCTTCTGTCGCTCCTCCTCCCAGAAGAGCAGGGACGGGCGGGTTAGCGCACGGCCTTAGCCTCCCCTGAGCCATCAAGAAGTAATTACAGCCGGGAGTCCACGGCGACGGCTGCTGACCGGAATGGAAATTAGACACCCCGAATACTCGGGCAGATTCCAAATCGCCCTGTCCTGTGTCCCCTAGAGTGTCACAAGGTCACTGCTTGGCAGGGGGCGGCCTGAGGCAGGGAGATTTCCAGAAAGATGCATCTGCTGGGTGGAGGATGGAGGGAGGCAAGTGTATAGGAGGCTAGGTTTGAACCTTAGCTCTGCCGCTGAGCAGCTGGGCCGCCTCGGGAACCTGTGTGTCACTTCTCGGTGTGACCACGTGGGAAACTGAACGCACAGACCCACAAAGGAAAAGAAGCCGCACGTGCGGAGGCTGTGGGCCTCCAGGTGGAGGCCGCGGACCCCGGCCTCCGTCCCTGGCTCCTGTCTGTATCTGGCCAAGGCTCAGCATTGTGCCAGCACTATGACCGATGGCCAGGGTGCCTTAAGTCCTCAGCCAGGAGCACCAGAGAAGACCCAGCCAGGCACTTGGTGATGGTGGTGAAAAGCCCCGCCTCCCCCCGCCGCCCCGCCCAGCAGCCCGAGACTCACATGTGCTGGGACGCGTTGGGGAAGAGGTGTGAGTACTGGGGCGCGGAGTCCTCGGGGCCGTGGGGGGCAGCGTGGCTGATGACCAGGAGGACGGGCCGGTGCGGGTACATCTTCTTGGAGGCACGGAAGAAGCTCACGCTGTCGTTGGTGATGAGGTCTGTGAGGTAATCCTGGAGGGAGACGGGAGGAGGTGAGGGGCGGTGGACTTGCACCCGGGTCATGGCCTGGTCGTGATGACTGTCAAGGGCAGGCAGACAATAAACAAGAGAGTGCAGAATACAGAGCGGTGAAGCTCGCTCCTTCACTGCAGGAGAAGACTAGTACTCCTGAGCGCCTGGCCTGTGCCAAGAACTCTTCTGCTTCTTTTTAGGTCCGAGACCAGGCCTCGAACTCAGTACCGCATTCTTTTGCCCAGTGGCTGGTGCTTTACCAATTGAGCCACACCTCCAACCCCTCGAAAACACTCCTGAATTCACTTGTTTCATAATCCTAGAAAGTGGGACTCCTGGCAATCCCTATTTTTCACAGCAGGAAGTTCAGTCACAGAGATGTTAAGTGAGTTGTCTAATGTCACACAGCCGGCAAGTGCTGGAGCCAGGACTTGGAGTTTTGGTTTCTATACAGTGTGGTGGTTATAAGCCCCGTGTCACCAGAGACCTTGAGGCCTGAGGTGGGGGAAGGGGAGATGGGAAGCAGGAAGGAGCGAAACCAAACTCTTAACTTCATGTTTGCATACTAAGGAAAAAAATGTAGGATTCATGCAAATTGAGACACAAGGGCATTTGTTACTTCTATGCTTGTTCTCTTGATTGTATGAGTGTGTGTGCATGTGTGAGAGAGAGGCAGAGACAGACAGAGAGACAGAGGGCATGAGAGAGAGAGCATGACAGAGAGCAAGCACCTTTACTGGAGCTTGAATTCAGGGCCTGGTCGCTGTCTCTGAGCTCTTCAGCTCAAGGCTAGTGCTCTACCATTTGAGCCACAGCGCCACTTCTGATTTTCTGGTGGCTAATTGGAGATAAGGGTCTCATGGATTTTTCTGCCTAGGCTGGTTTCAAACCACGATCCTCAGATCTCAGTCTCCTGAGTAGCTAGCTAGGATTACAGGTGAGCTGCCAGGTGCCCGGCTGCCTTTTGAGTTTCTGTGCTCAAGACTAGCATGCTACCACTTGAGCCATAGCACCACTTCTGGGTTTGGGGGAAGTTAATTGGAGAGAAGAGTCTCTCAGACTTTTCTGCCCAGGTTGGCTTCAAACCTCAATTCTCAGAGTCCAGTCTCTTGAGGATTACAGGCTTGAGCCACTGGGGCCTAGCAAGACCCCTGCCAGGCCCTCCCTCCTGGGTGGTCTTAGTGGGGATACTAATCCCACCCCCACCATGGGTGGTCACCCCTCGGGCCATAGCACTGGAGCCAAGTTCAGAGACAGAGGACAGGCTGGGGAGTGGGCAGTGCAGGGAGCAGGGAGGGACCCGGCAGGGCCTGGCCACTGCCTGGATCGTGGGTGCAGGGCGGGGATTAGGGGTGCAGGCAGGGGGGTGCAGGGCAATCCACTCCTTGCTGGCTTCTGGTTTGGGAAATTGGGGACAGGGCAGAGAGAAGGGTCCCCAGAGGAAGCAGAAAGAGCCCAGGAAGAGGCGGAGTTCAGCCCTGGACAAGCTCAGCTTGAGGTGGGCCGCGAGGGAGGACTTGGGGATTTGGAGCATGAAGCACGGTGGGAAGCCAAGCCGGGAACCAGCAGCCGGCAGGGGGCGCGCTCAGTGGCCGCGAGGTAGTGAGGTAAGGGCCTGCAGTGCGTGCCAGGCCGTTCACCAATGGGCTTCCTGTCCCAGCAGGACGCAGGCGCACAGCTGCAGCCCGGCTCCCGCGGCCCCAGGGCTCGGGGTGGCCTGGGCAGAGCTCTCACCTCCGCGTGGACTTCAGAGACCCTTGAGGGCCCCAGCGTGTGTTTTAGCTGATGAAACCATCTTGATGCAGTCACGTAACCAGGGTAGCAGGTGGCTGAGCCTGGGCCCCGTGCAGGGCTGGGGCTGGGCAGTGGGGCCTCCCCCCACCCCCCACCCGCAGTGTTCCCACCTAGGCAGGGGTGGGAGGTGAATGGGGAAAGCAGTTGTAAGAACAAGAGGAAAGGCCAGTCCTCGATAAAGGCCAGAATCATCCTGGGTTATTACCGTCAGCCAGGCGCAGGGCTGGTGGCAGCGAGGACAAAGCAAAAGCAAGAGGGACGGATGTCACAGACAGCATGGCAGAGCCGCCGCGGCTGTGGGGTGCTGGAGTTGGCGCTGAGATGCATTCATTTCTATGCATTAGAGTTTTAAACGGAGGTTGGGAGAATCAATGCCGGTCCTTTCCTCCTGTCCTTACCATTATCACCACCAGGGGTCAGCAAACAACAGCCCAGGGTCAATCAGGACAAATAAAGTGTCCCTAGAACACAGGCGCCACAGTTTGGATGGAGAATGTTACTCACAGGTCAGGTCCCAGCCTGAGCCCCTCCTGGGAGGTATGAAACTGTCAAGGGATGGGTGGAGCTTTGTGTTAGGAAGCTAGGCCGTGGGGGCGTGGCCAAAGAGGCGTGGTCATGCCAGGGGTGTGGCCTGAGGAGCTATCACTTCCTGGCCACCACAAGAACAGCCCTCCTCACCACGCTATGCTGCCTGGTGCCACAGGCCCAAAGCAACCAGGACAAATGACGGTGGATGGCAACCTCAGAAACCATGAGCCACGCACACCTTCCCCTTACCGAGTGGATCATCTCCGGCTGCTCCTTCCTGTGGCATCTATGGCCGCACTTGACTGGCCAGACAGCCAGAAGCCCTGACTTGGCTGGCCTGGCCTCCACTACAGGGTCTTGCATATTTGTTACATGCACAGGGCTCACTGGATCCTTAGAAAACCTGTGTAAAACCACGGAACGATACCACGAGTAGTTCTCATCAGAGGAATGAGAAGCCAGTGGACGTACGCCTCGGTTCTGGCCAGGCGGGAACATCGGCCTGACCGCTTGCTGGGGCGGGGTCCCCACGAGTCTACCTGGGTGGATCTCGGGAGAGATGGAGGCAGAGGTCCACCAAAAGCCACAGGGGAGGGTTACCCCAGCCACATGACTCAGCCTAGGTTCCACAGAAGTGTCCTGCCAGGTGTCACTTGTCTGTCCACACGGTGGAACGTGACGCGGAGACCAGCGCTAACTACAGGTGCACATCACACACTGGTGTCCCGCGACACGTGCTGCGCCACAGGAAGGGGCGCTGGTACCCCAGGCACCTCCTTTCATGTGCTCACACCGGCAGGCAAAGCGGCCCATGGGTGAAGTCAGACAGTGCTCATTTCTAGGAGCCTGTGTAGGTGACCGGGGAAGACAGACACACACTTGTGTGGAGTCTCAGCAAGCTGTCCTCCTGCGCTACTTGCCTCCGTTGGTCAATCTGCTGTTGGAGGTAGTTGACTATAGCCAGGAGCAAGCGCTCCAGCACCTGCTCAGACAACTCCCCCCCCCCAAACATGCCCCATGCCACACTACCCCCCAAACATGCCCCATGCCACACTACCCAGCAGCTCCGCTCTGAGCAGAGCATCTGTAACCACAAGTACCTGCGTTCACCTATTCTCTGCAACTCTGTTCAGAATAGCTCCAAACTGGAAACCCCTAATGCCTAGTAACAATGAAATGAATGAATGAATGGAAGCAACTTTCGAGAATCTAACGGTATGTAAAATCCCAATATAAAGTGAGGCACAGGAGCTACCTGCAGAGCCAATCCACAGTGCCAGCCACTGCCAGCAGGGCTTCAGTGGGGGGGGGGTCACACAGGGGACTTCAGGGGTGCTGGTGAGGACACTCTGCTTGTCCCTCTGGGTGCTGGTTACACGTCCCGCTCTGTGTGTGAAAATCCACTTACTTGTCCCCCCCCTCCACCCGTACTTTCTAGTCAGCGAGGGGATTATTTGAGAGATGAAAAACCCAAGCCGCGGAGGGTGTTTGTGGACGGCTTAAGGTCAGGCATTTAAGCAGGTGTCAGAGGGGAACCGGAGCCTCAGAGACGGGCCATGACCTGCAGGGCCTCCGGAGCCGGGGAGGGCACAGCTCACCTTGGAGTAGTCGAAGCCGTGTTTCTCCTTCACCCCGTTCCGGCACAGCGAGTAGTTGTAGAAGCGAGAGTTTTTAAGGAGGCCGACCCATGACTTCCAGCCAGGCGGCACATAGGAGCCGTTGTACTCATTGAGGTATTTCCCGAAGAAGGCTGGAGGGAACAGAACCAGGAGGCCGCGTAAGAACACAGAGAGGGAAGGCTTCCTCGGCACGGCCCGCTGAGCTTGGCAATACTGGGTGCCCGCCGCCCAAAATCACACGCACACATGCCAGGGAGCAGGCTGGCTATCAGTGAAGCCACATGCCCCAATTCACATATGGTTACATCACAACTGTGGCGCAGGGTAAAGCAAAAGAGTGCAAAATTCAGGCATCAGAATAATCGGAAGCATTTGCAACAGAGTCACGAGTCTTAAAAAATTTACATCTCAAAACAAGACCTTGACAGGGGCTGGTGGTCCACACCTGTAATCCCAGCTACTCAGGAGGCTGAGATCTGAGGATCGCCGTTCAAGGCCAGCCTGGGCACGAAAGTCTGTGAGACTCTTATCTCCAATGAACCACTCAGAAAACCGGAAGCGGCTCTGGGGCTCCAAGTGGTGGAGCGTTAGCCTTGAGTGAAAGAGCTCAGAGACAGCGCCCAGGTCCTGAGTTCAAGTCCCACGACTGACCAAAAACAAAAAAAGAAACAAGAAAACAAGACCTCATGAAGAAAGATGATTTCCGAGCAGAAATGAGTGAGAATGTCTGATTTTGCTGTAGTTCTAACAACAGGGGGATAGTAAGCAGACTGCACTTGTACCGACATTCAATTTATGCTGATAATCGACTATGGCTTGTGATCCATGTTCATAATGGAAGCCAAAAGTTAGTCTCAGCCCTCATGTGGTGACAAATAAAAGCTACTTCCCCAGTTCAGGCTGGTGGGTGTTGCAGATTCTATGCAGAATGGAACACCCAACATTATCAAGTGTTGGTGGGCACCGGGAGCCCTGGAAGTCCTACTCAGGGGCGTGTCCCAACAGGTCCCCCATGGTGGAGGATGCTGTGGCCACATCTACCAAGCTCAAATGCGTTACTTCTACCCAGTGATTTGCATCTTGGGTTATTTACCTATCACAACAGCGTTTACGTGTTCACCCACCGTCAGACGCTCACTGCCACCCATTCAAGCGGAAACAGCCAGAGACAGACACAGCACTCAGACCTAACGTGGGATGGGCCAGAGGCATGTCTGCGCATTTACCCAGTGGAAAACAGTGCTGCTGCCTTCAGGAACACAGGTGCTTCTCAACAACATAGCGATGCCAGGTACCGCTGTCAGTAACACAGGATACCCCCATGTTTTGGTGACCCCGATCATGTGAAGTTCACAAATGGGTGGAGGGCATCCATGGTGTTGGAAGGGAGGAGGAGGGTCAGCGGGAGGGGCCCCCGGGCTGGGTGGGTGAAGGTCTTCTACTTCCGGTCCTGTTTTTAGAGCCAGTGCGAGTCCACCCGAGCCCCCCTCATCTGGCAGTAGTCAACTTCCCCGCTTCGTACGGACAATGCTCACTTAAAATGCAAACCCTGTGTCACGAGCAGACGGACAAGGCGGGTGGTCTTGGCAATCCTCTTCTTTTTTTCTTTTTGTCAGTCGAGGGCTTGAACTCTGGGCCTGGGCACTGTCCTTGAGCTCTTCAGCTCACGGTGAACATTCTACCACCTGAGCCACAGCGCCACTTCCAGTTTTCTGGTGGTTCATTGAAGATAAAAGTCTCATAGACTTTCCTGCCCGGGCTGGCTTTGAACCCTGATCCTCAGATCTTAGCCTCCTGAGTAGCGAGGGTTTCAGGAGTGAGCCACTGGCGCCCCGTTTGGCGATCCTTTTCTAGGGCAGTGAGCAAGTACACACTTCATGATTATGGGCTGTGAAGCCATGGGAGAGACATGGGGCCATTTGTGAGCCTTCTCCGCTGACACAGGTCCTCGTCCAGCCCACCCTTTCCCCACAAGTACCGGGGATCCCGCATCACTCTGCAGTGACAGGGATTGCACAGGCTTTATGTCCAAGGTAAGGAGATTGTGTGCACTCAGCCCTGCCTGTGGTGGCCACAACACCCCGGGGGTGCAGGGACAAGATGACATGGGGAGGTGGGGAGAGGAGGAATGCCACATGGAGGAGGGTACTGGCCTCCATTGGCCCAGTGGACTGGCAGAGAGGCGCTGGGGAGGGCTTTCCTGGAGGCCTGCCTGGTGGCGGGCAGTGCCCGGGAGATAAGGCCCCTCAGGAACAGGAGCCCAGTTCCCCATATCCAGGCCCCACAGGGCCTGCTGGGGGCAGCTGCAGGCACAGCCGGGGGACAAGGAGCCTCCTGAGTGGGAGGCGGGAGAGGGTAAACAGCCTGGCATCCGGAGGAGGCAGGCCCAGTCCTGGGCAGCTGCCAGTATCTCCAGCGAGATGGCATTAGGCCGTGGCACCTCATTAACCAGCACTGAGTGTCCCTGGCCGGGTGTTGAGTCATGGACTGAGATCACGGGTGCCGGAGAAGAGCGAACCCACACGGTGAGGTCACGGTCAGTCACGACACCCCAGGTCAGCCACCTCTGCCCAGTCCACTTCTGGCCCTGGCAGAGTGAGGGCCCTAGCAATGCAGGGGTGTGGGGGGGGGAGGGCGTGGTAGCTTCCGGTAGTGTCGCAGCTCTGGGGGCTGGGCGCAGCTGGGGTGTTGGCCAGGGACTCTGCTAACTGTCCTGCAATGCCCCTGGCGGCCCTTTGCCACAGAGAACAACCCAGAATGAAATAGCAAAGTGGAGGGCAGTCACTCAGAGCTTCTCTAAAACCACCATCTATCGCGTGGGCCTCCAGCGTGTCTCCTCTCAGTTCAGAACCAGAAAAGGCCCTTAGAGACGGAGCCTGGCCAGAGAAACAAGATCGAATCAACCTACAACCTGCCACAGCCTCCCCTGCGCTGGGAAGCCCTCCCCCACCCCTGCTCCCCAACCCCTGCTCCCCCTCCCGCCACACTCCACACAGGTACCCGGCATCACAGGCCAGGTGGTGTCTGTGACAGCGACCCAACTCTGTCTGTTTCCGTGGGAGACAGACCCAGAAGAAACCAAAGGAAGGCAGGCACTGGTGGCTCATGCCACACCTACAAGCCTAGCTACTCAGGAGGCTGAGAACTAGAGATCATAATTTTTTTTTTTTTTTTGAGATCATAATTTGAAGCCAGCCCCAGCAGGAAAGCCTGTGACTCGTACCTCCAACAAACCACTCAGAAAAAAGCCGGAAGTGGTGCTGTGGCTTAAGTGGTAGAGCACTAGCCTTGAGAAAAAGAATCTCAGGGACAGCACGCAGGTCCTGAGTTCAAGTCCTGGGACCAGCACTAAATAAATAAGCAAACAAACAAACCTAATGGAAAACGGTGCCGCTCAGTTCCAATAAAACTACAAGCTTGTTTTGGGGGGGGGGGGGGGTAGGGAGGGCTGGTGGCTCTCCCAGATAATCCTGTCTGAGATTTGAGGATCATGGTCAGGAGGCAGCCCAACTCGCAGATTATCTCCAATTAACCAGCAAAATGGTGGGTGGGTGGCTCAAGTGTTGGAGTGCCAGCTTCGAGTGAAAAAGACAAACAAGAGCTTTAGGCCCTGAGTTCAAGCCCAGGACTGGTGGCACACACACACACATACGTGCATCCATACACATGCACACACATGTACACACACAGAGCAGATGGAGGGCTGAGTGTGGTCCACAGACCCTGGGTAACTGTTGGTCTGCAGGGACAGGGACAGCTGGCGTGTCAGCCTGCTTTGGGAGGGAGCTGGGTGGGGAAAGCTGGGTTTCCAGGAGTGCCCTGGGGGAGTACAGATGCTCACTGGCCCACACGGTATGTGAACCACTCCTGATCTTTGTTTATTCCTTGGTTAGCTCAGAACCTCCAGGAGGAAGAATGCGGAAGGTGACCCCTCTCCCCACACTTCCCGCCCACTGCCAATCACGTGGCAGCAGTGGTAAGTTTCTGTTGGACATTGGTTACGGCCAAAGTTGAGTCAATGACAGATGGGCGTGCCTGGGTGGGGTAGACATCAGGTTGGGGTTCCACCAGCTGCTCCTGGCACGGTGACATTGCGGTCACCCTGGGGCCTCACCTATGACAGTGACTGCCACGCACGCAGATGCCTGGCAGGCAAAAACCACGTGGGTTTGGGTAAGTACAGACTCTGCATGCTCGCTCAAGGATTAAACACGAATGAGGCATTGCTTAGAATGCACACAGCCCTGCCCCATAAAACACCTATTGGATGCCAGAGCCAGGCAAGGTGCTGGAAGACCACAAATGAAGATGAAAATGATACAGGTGGTGGTGATGGGGGTGGCGGGCATGAGAACCCCATGGGGGGGGGGGAACGTCACGGGGAAGATCGGATCTTGCTAGTCCTAGAGGCCACCTAAGGACAGGCTTTGGGAAGCAGTCTGGCCGGCACATGCCATGTATGTGCACACATGTGTGCACACGTGTGTGTACAACACACATGCCTGGAACCTCCCCCCCCCCCCCAGAGTTCACATTTCCTAAGCATTTTGCTGGAAACAGGCACACAGTGGACAGGACCCCCGAATCACCCAGCCATTGGAGAAGTAGGACCTTCACCCCACAGTTGATGGAAGAGAAGGGTCCACGGGACCCCAGGGGGACTGGTCTCGCCCAGACCTTCTGGGTTCTGGCTGGTGATCCGACTCCTGGTCACCTGTCTCTGAAGAGCTGGCCCAGGAGTAGTGGCAGGCGGCCGCCAGGCTGGCAGGATGGGCATCTTGTGGTGTGGGTGGGCGGGGTCCTTCTGCCTTTGGACCCCCGACTGTGATACCCGACGCCATGGCTGTCAGGATCCCCGGCCATCTCCTCCACACGGCCTCCTCCTGTCACCTCTCTCCTCCTTCCAGCCCACCCCTTACAGAACCCAGAGCAAGAGTTTATTATCCGGGCTGTTCGAGGCCCTCGAAAACCCGCTGTGCTCGGAGGCTTTTAGTGCCAAATTAGATTTTGCTCTCATTTGATTAGATTTCCCCCAGACAGTTTTTAAAATGGTTATTCTGGCACCAGTAAAGGTGGGAGAAGCATGGGCCCAGGGGGCAGTGGAGAGGCTGGGAGACAGGGCCAAGAGAAT